ATTAGAAATTTAGTCTTGAGGTTTAAGACCATGAGTTAAAATTCTTTATATTTAATGTTTTTTATTTTATTTTTTTCTGAAATAGCTTTTTATTAAACAGCAAAGCAGAACTGTAACACAATTTTAAATATCTGTAAATTAGGTCACAAAAGGGATGCAAAATCTTTGCAGTTTAATTATATATTCATACAGCTAAAGTCACATATCAAATCTTACACTAATACATAAGATTATTTCATGATTAAAAGTAGTCCAAATCTAATAATCATAAGCTATATTAGTGGGTCTCTTTTCCTATTATCTTAATATTATTTCCAATACTGATTCCCTTACCAAATAAACTAAAAACTAAATTTTAAAAAATTTTAAAGAATGCCTAAACCTCTGCAAACCAAATGGCAGAATTTACAGAAAATTCTGGGAGAATAAGTGAGCTAAAATACTAAGATTAAAATTACCATTATTGTACACGTATACTCTACCATGTGTTCATGATTCTGTTACTAATAAACTCTCAATTTTGCAAGAGTTGATCTATTGAGTAAATGTCCTTGAGACCAAATGGTAACTGGTCTCCCTATGTAGCTTACATAAAGTTATTCAAACTTAATGCACTTTCATATCTATCTTTTGTCCGCCAAAAGTCTATTTTGCCAGAGAGAATACAAATCTGGAGTGAAAGCATTTGGAGTAGTATTTACCAAGTTCTTTCCTGCCCATTTCTATTTTTTCTCAAGATAGATCTATCTTGAACGTACATCCATGACCAGAACTCCTATCTTTTCAGGTCCTAAGTGGGTTATTTTGTGCAAAAGGAAGTTTTAAACAAATCTTCCCAGTATGAGACCATTTTTTTAGTTTCAGTCCATCTTCAATTGCTTAAAGAGAAACCATCAATCCTATCTTATTATTAAATACCACACAGGACAAGCCCTAGCTAAGACAGTTTCTTATTTTGGTTAAGTTTCAACAATTAGAGTCATGTTACTCTCATCAGTGATTAACTATTAAAATTACTTTTACAAATGTGAAATCTTTTTTTTTTTTTTTTTCCTTAGGGGAAGGGAAATGGGAAGGAAGAGGCAAATGGAGAAGAGGCACAAGATGGTGGACAGGGTACATAAAGCTGTGCATTCAGTATATGATTTTGGTCACTTTTTCACAACATGGTGGTTATTTTCATATATATTTTACTAAGCCTATATAATAAAAGACAGTGCTAAACCTATATATCAAAGCAAATTTGATAAAACATTCATCTTCAAGTCTCATAAATATATGCAGTTCTAATTATAAAGTCTCTATAATACATTTGCACATTTTCATAGACTAACATAATACACAAACTCTCTTGTTATGCAGTTAATTTTGCCTAGATCTGCCATTAACTTCATAAATATTCAATGAAGCCACAAACAAAGGTACTGAAACTTTTGAAATTTATCCAAGTTTTAAAGGGGGGAAAAAAAAGCTGGTCAGCAGCAATTCCTTAAAACAGAAGGGAAACCAATCCCTTACTTTCTTTTGCTTTTTGTGTCAGTTGTTTGAAAAACACTAGAAGCAGACATGAGGTTTTCTATATATTGTCCAAGAACTTGGTTTTCTGATTTTAGCTTCAGATTTTCTTCTTTAACTGAATCTACTCTTGCAGAGAGATCTTCAAGTGTGTGTTGAAGTTCCAACACTTGATTAATAAGTCGTGTTTTTTCTTCAAGTTCCACCTGATTTTCAGCCTCAACTGCATCCATGTCAGCACTCATCATCTTGGGTAAAAAACTTTTAGATTTTCGATGTAAAATTCTTGATGAATGATCTTCAGTTTGAGGCGCTGGAAGGGGTTGGGATCAGGAGGATGTCTCAGGCCGGGACACCTGGACCAACTGACACCGGCAGCTCTGCCCTCTTTGCCCGTTTTTTATTTTTATTATAATTTTTTTTTTATTATAGGCTTCGGTGGAACTGGATACAGTTTTCTATGTCCAGATCAAATGGAAGCAAGTGAGCAAGTGTATTTTGAATATCTACATGGGTAACATATCCTAGGGCTCTGAGTCAGATTCAAGGAATGTTAATTTACAAATGTTTCAAATACTCAAACTCCTGGGGAAAGAAAATCACTCTTTTGATTCTTTTGGCAAAAGGCCCAGTATCTAATTTCTAATTTTTTATACCATCTGTGATTTAATGTTCTGACCACATTACAGAATGTGACTCAAACAAAGACCACATTTTTTACTATGCCATTTTCATAACAGTTGAATCCTACACTTATCTCTATGGTTACTTTTTTACAGTGTATACTGAAATTTAATATGCTCTCCTCTGGCTCTCCCCTCTAATACATTAAGTTGATAATGAGGCCATAACCCAGGAGTGAGAAGTAAGGAAGCAAAATTATGAACACAATTAAAATAAACAGTGACCATGGATTTACTAACTCCCAACTGTTTGCCTAAGTTCTCCTTTGGGTGTGGATTCTTTTATTACATCTTGTTTTCACTATAGTGAAGGGTCACTACATTAAACTACTTATATGAGAAGACAAGCTTGTCAGATTATATTTTGTAAGACTATAATATTTAAGAATTTATAACTCTTGTCTCACATTTTCTACAGACTGTACTGTGTGATGCATGATAAAATGCCTCATGACCTCCAAGATACCTCCCATATTTTTAATCTTCTGTGAAAAAGTAATATTTTGCTGTTCCTGGAAATAAAAAGATATGTAATAGAAACAAGAAGATAATAAAGATCTAATGAAATATTTTAGAGTGTGTATGTTGTGTGCAGATGGCAGAAGGAGGGCAATACAGAAATATACACAAATGTTTGTAAATGAAAATTGAAGGATAACAAAATACAAGTATATTCATCCATTAATTTCTTAAAGTCAAGGTCCTTGATTATTTCTGTATATTCACTTTTCATTCCCAGTGCTGAACACAAAAACAGGCACACAGTAATAAGTTATTGTATACTTATTAAATGAATGAATACATATATGCATGAAGACATTTTATGGGAACACAGAAAACATTTGACATCCTGGAAATGATGGAAGTGGGTGGATTGGTGAGAGAAGAGGTCAGGGAGTAAAGGTCTGTAGGAAATACTGTTAATTTTCCCCATTATCCATTTTTTTTTTTTTTTTTTTTTTAGTAAAGTTCTTGATAGTTAGCTGGACACATTTCCCGGCTTCCTTTGCAGCTAGTATGCCATGTAACTACATTCTGGCCAATGGTATGCAAGCAAAAGTAATGTGTGCACCTTTCAGGTTGTGCCATTGAAGGGCATGGACATGCCCTCTCGTACCCTTTCATCCCCCTTTATTACTGGCTGAAAAGGGCTTGGGGATTCACCATTTCAGACTCAGCCGACAAGGGCAAATCCCTTAGAGGCAATCCCAAGTGGGACTTTGGGTCCCTGACAACTTTGTGGAGGAGTATCACCAGTCCATCAGGACTTCGTGTGAGAAACAAACTTCTGTTTTAAGCCCAAGATTATTTTAGATCTGTCTCAGCGGCTAAATTTATATCCTAACAAATGCAAGCTTCAGGAAAGGCTGCCACAGAAGTGGCACTGGCGCTGAGTTCACCAGGTAGACCTAGCGGGGAGGGGTTTCAAGCCTGAGGGGCGTGGGTGCAGAAATGGAAGTTGGGGAGCTGGCTTAAGGGTGGCAAGCAATGACGATGGAAAGCGAGGCAAGGGTCAGATACCAGAAGACCTGTCCTGCCTCTCTCAAAGGTTTTACCCCGTGGCCAAGAAGCTACCGCACAGCAGGAGTGTAGGAGGATGGAAGATTCAAATACAACTCACATGCAAAAAATCGGGTTTCTAGGAGAGGGAAAAGAAATTCACAGAGGCCAAAAGACTTTTCCAAGTTAGTGACAGAGGTGGAATAACCAGACGAGAGTTTTTCGAACTGTGGTCTTGGACCTGATTATATCAGAATCACCTGGGTTACCTGAGGAAAATGCAAATTCCCGGGTCCTTCCCCGGAACTACGGGTTCTAACCACACATCTCTGGGGATGGTTTCTAGCAATTTCCACTTTTAAAGAGAACTTCAAGGGCTTGAGAGTTGACAACCACGGAACCACAGCAGACTACTCTGAAATAGCTCTTTTAAGTGTTCATAAATACGACAGAGCGTGAGCGCTCGGGCCACGTGTGATAGACGGGGCCGAGCAGGTGCCATTCCGCTCACAGGACGAAGAGCCACTTACCCGGCGAGAGGTGCCACCGGCCAAATCCCGCGGGAATAGCCTGAGCGTGGCGCCCGCCCATTCCCGTTGCCACGGAGACCGCGCTCAGGACCAGTCGACCTCAGGAGCGTGGGGAGGCTGAGTCCTCTGCCGCCTGCGCCCGCCGGTCCAGCGGTGCTGCGCTCGTCCCTCTCCGCCGCCGCGTCCGCGAAGGTAGCCGCACGAGGCCGGGCCAGGACCAGAGCCGCGCCCCCTTTCGAGGAGCCCGATTGCGCCCAGCGTTGGAGGCCGTGTCCCCCCTGCCCGAACCTGGACGGTGGGAGTGGCTGCATTTGAACCAAACGGCCTTCGCGGGTAGCTGCCGCTGCAGACGCCACCGCTTCAGCCCCGAGCTCCCGAGGGCCTGTTGCCGACACCAGCCTCAGTGCCCAAAGTGCAGGGGCTGCCGCGTCTCTGTCCCCAAAGCTCTGGGAAACATCCGCCCTCGGGGTAAGGGCGGATTTGTGGGAGCCGGGGAACAGCGCCTGCGGGGCCCGCAGTTGCGGTCACTGGGGCCCTCTGTCCCCATCCTGGCCACGGTAAACGTCGCTCGTCTCTTGGGAAGCGGCTCTCCATCTCTCCTCTCCTTTCTGAGTGCTGGAAGTTTCTCTTGGGGCTCGTCTGACTCACAGGATGGGATGTTTGGACCGGCCAGTGAATGCCACCTTGTAGTCTTGGACGCCACAACCCAGGGGCCGTCCAGAGAGGTGCTGCAGAAATAGTGATTGACCGAGATAACCTTTTCTTTCCACAGAGACGATGCTTAAGATACAAGGAAAACCATTTCCCGGAACATCTTAATTGTCATTGAAGCTTGAGCTAACGACAGCCAAGGGGCAAACATGTTCAACTCCGCCAGTGAACTGGAGTTTTCGGACGAAAACAATGTCGAGGAGATCTCCCAATTCGTTTCCCTGGAGGTGTCAGGTGGCACAGTATCCACCCAAAGAAGTTCGATCATTGTACCCGAAAAAACGGGCTACCCGGACTCCGTGTACGTTTTGGCGGCGAACATTTTTCAGGGTATTCGAGTGGAAAAGTCTTCAGATAAAATCTTAATAAAGTACGGGAATGAACCCCTGCCGTCCTTGCCCGAGTTTGAGGATGAATCCGTACAGCGTTTGTCCTATGAGCTGGCTTTCAGTACCCTGAAGTGTGAGTAGTAACAGTCTTGAAGATCAGCACTAGAATAAGACGATAAGGAGAGAATCTGTGAAATGCAGTCCCACAAACGCATCAGATTTTTTTTTTTTTAACCCATGTGCACATCGTTGGTTAATTGCAAACGTCAAGGAATTAAGGAAGCTGCAGTGGAACTAGCTCCTTATTTTTCTCAGTACCTAGCCAAGTGCCTTGTCCTTAGATTTACTGCACACGGTCATTAAAATGAGCTGGAGGCTGGGGTTGTGGCTCAGTGATAGAGCGCTTGCCTGGCATGTGTGAGGCACTAGGTTCGATTCTTAGCAGTACATATAAATAAATAAAAAAATAAAGGTCCATTGACAACTAAAAAAAATTAAAAAATAAATAAAATGAACTGGAAACGATTCTGTTAGTAGGGAGAACAAGAGCCTCCTTGAGTGTCTTTCCATTCCCTGTATGTACATCTTATATATTAGTTTATGAGCTTGCATAAACATAAAACCATTAAGAGAATGTTGGAAAAAATATGAAATAAAACGAAAAGGTGCAATATTTTAAAAATGAGTATCACCATTAACCCTAATTAAGATGATTCCACTTTTTAAAAATGTCTTTATTTTTACGTGGTGTTGGGGTTCAAACCCAGGGCGTCGCCCATGCTAGGCAAGCGCCCTACCTCTGAGCTACAACCCCAGCCTAGATGATTCCATTTTTAGCAGATAGCTTTAATTTTGGGAGCCCAACTTCAGTGTAATTTCCCTCTCTGCCTCCAGGGTTCCAGTCCCAATGTTTCAGATTCTCTCCACTGTGGTTGTTAATTATCAACTTCTGAGTGTGGAGCTGACTCTAGGAAAATACCAGATATTGTTACTAAGAGGAAATCTGTCAAAAGGTCAGGAGTCTTTTGTTTGTGTACTAGTTGTAACCATAAATGTTATACTGGTTTGTAAATTGCATGTAGGTCCAAAAATAATTTCCCTAAATGTTTGGGAGTACTGGCAGCCTGACTAAACTGATGAGCATATGGCTTCTCAAAGAGACACCTTGAAGAGGTATGAAATTTGTAAACTCACATTTGGCTTATATATTTTATGTTCAGAGAGTCATGATTTAAGAAAAACAAAACAGGATTTCATCCCTAAGGTCTTACAGGAACAGTAAAGTTCTAGAAGTTATCGTATAAACTAGAGAGTCCCTTTCATTTATGAGTTTGTGAATGGGTGATTAGATCTCATTACCAGAAAGTAGGAGGAGGAAAAACCAAAATCTCTAAATTATACAAATATTAAGTATATCCCTTTAGTTGTGTTTTATGCTTTTCAGTTGTATTGTTTGTGTCTTTGTGGATGTCCTTTTTTTTTTGCATAAACTCTTTCAAGCAAGTAGAATTTTTATCTGATTAACCTTTTAGAGTTAAAGGCCTCATTATGATTTTTTTTTAAATAAAAACTAATTCTATTTTTACCAGATAACCACAAGGTCAGTTTTCTGCTAAACAAGGTAGAATAATTACTAATGAAGAGAAACCTGTTCCTATTGTTTGACTTCTGTAGAGTATTAGCAGCTAATTTGTTTATTTTTCAAAGAATCTCTGTATGCTTAAAGTAATAATAGATATTAAAAAGAAAAACTGATGAAATGATTTCTTATGAGATGTATGAGCAACCAATAAAAGGAAATGAAGACAAAAACAACTTAAGGAGAGAGAGAGAGAGGTCCCCGAAATTGCTGATCTTTTCCCTGGCTAATCTTATCTTTGAGTTTTCTAGGTGTATGTAGTAATGGGTAACTTTTACTCCTAGGAACTGACTGTGATATTAATCTGATCATTTGGGAATCACACATATTCTGTCATTTTGGGAAGTATATAAATTGAAAACCCTAGTAAATGCTTAACACATGGTTTGGTTCTAACTTTTGTGTATTAGTAATTGTAGCAGAGGGTTATCCAGGCTACCCTCAGGTTCAATAATTCCCTAACAGAATTCATAGAGCCTAGCAGAGCTTTTATACTCAAGGTTACAGTTTCTTACAGCAAAAGGACATGGATTAGAATCAGTAGCCAGGAAAGTATGTAGGACAGAGTCCAGGAGCAGATAGACGCAAGTGTCCTGTTGTTCTTTCTCAATGGAGTCTTATTGACAAGTGCTTAATTCTCTTGATAATGATATATGACAACAAGAATGAAGTATTGCCAACCTGGGAAGTTCACCTGAGTCTTGCCATGTAGGATTTTTATTGAGGGTCAGTCTTATAGAGTGCCCATGTCGCTGCCCTTAGTTACTCAACTAATAGTGTCTACGATGGGACTCAAAGCCCCAGATAAAGAAAGACACAAAGGCAAGAGATTTCAGAGACACAAAATTGGTTCACAAGTACTAGGATGTAAAACTATGAACTTCATTTTCCTTATAAATGAAATGGGAACATTACCTTGTACAATATATATCCATAATTGATGGCTAAAATATGGATAATGATTCACAAAAGATTTTCTTTGAAAATTGGAGTCTATATTCCCAAACTAGTATTCTTTCTAGTTTGCCTATCTCCCAAATAAAGGTTTAAATTCAGCTTACCTCACATGTAACAGGTTTTCCATAAATGTTGAACAAATTGAAGACGGCCTTGCTTTTTGTTCAGCTGACTAAAGCATCACACACACACACACACACACACACACAAATGAACTGCATATAATATGTAAGTATAGTTTAAGTAATTATATCACAAAAGAACATTCATGTACTGTAGAAGTTTTAAAATATACCATATCCACTTTTGTGCATGCCTGTAATCCCAGCAGTTCAGAAGGCTGAGGCAGGAGGATTCCAAGTTCAAAGCCAGCCTCAGGAAAGGTGAGGCGCTAAGCAACTCAGTGAGAGCCTTTCTCTAAATAAAATACAAAATAGTACTGGGGATGTGGCTCAGTGGTCTAGTGCTTCTGAGTTCAATCCCTGGTACCAAAAAGGGGGAAAAAAATCCCACTTTTTTCCATGTAGTACCTTTGCAATAATCATTCTATTCTATCTGGCCTACTGTCTCTCCAACCCTGCCCCCCAAATCTTTACATGACAATTCCTTGTCACTTAAGTCTTAAATTAGATATCATATCATCATCTTCACTAGTGAGTTCCCCAAATATTTAAGTTGGAAATAATGCCATTCTAACCAAACTATTGGAGAGAATAGAGGATGAGGGAATGTCTCCCACTAATTTTATAAGGCTAGTATAACCTTGAAACACTGTCAAGGATGTTACAAGGAAAGAAAATTTGAAACCTCATAAACATAAATATAGGACAAAAATTCTAAATAAAATATTAGCAAAAAATAGGAATACTTAAAAAGAATAAGAGAAGGGTTTTTTTAACATTATTAATTGTATCTTTTTATGTCTTTCAAAAGACAAATTGCAAGGTTGAAATTCCTTTATGACTACTTTGATTATTCAGAGTGCTTCTTTGACTATGATTCTATGTGAAGCCTGGGCCATTAGGCCCAGGATTCATGAAGATTATAAATTTTTATCATGTCATTTTAATTTAAGTCTTCATTAAGAATGCAAATACACTTTGGATATGAAAGTAAACTTACCTTATGGCATTATTTAAAGTATATTTTGACTCCAAAGTTTTCATTTTTAGCCTTGGTATCTTTGATAATCAAACAGGCATTTCCCTTGTCTTGCAGATCAAGATATTTTGGAAACTATGTTAATCGACAGCTATATCTTCCCAAGTACCACAATAGTAAGTAGACAACTTTTAGAATCAGTTTATGTCATGATTATTCTTAATTATTAAAAAGCTTTCATATTTAAATAATAGCTAGTTTGCTTAATGCTGAGACCGCTTCAAACTACAGGTTCTTTCCTGCTTCTAGTTTGAACCCTTTCCTTTTCATTTTAATGAAAGTACAAAAAAAATTTTTTTTTTAAATTTTTTCTACTGGATTTATTTTCTATTTTGAAGACCTTCCCTATTTTCAAGTCTAACCAGACTTTGTAAATATTGTCACATTCCTGCTCTGTTATGAAAAATAATGGATTGTAAAATGTTGCTATTAGATTTTGTTTGTATACTTTTCTTTTTGTGTGTTTCCTCTTGGTAGCCAGATCATTTGAGCAGTCTTATTATTGTGATGCTGTATGATTTTCAAGATAGAAAATTTCAAAATCGTGTTCTTTCTGATAATGAAGAGTCCATATTGGAAGTTCAAGAAGTAGAGAACCTTCTTAACAGGTAAGTTATAAGTAAAAATGGTTTAATATTTAAAATCAATATCATTGTTTTTACTGGCAAAACTGTATGCAGTATAGTGTGTGTGTGTTTGTGTGTGTGTGTGTGTGAAAATTTTATGGAGATGAAATATGCAAGTTTAAAAATTTCTTGAGTTCCTTTATAAACAATTTTGAATAGATTATCCTGTTAAAAATCAAAATGTTTAGAAACCTTGAATTATAAGATTCAATATATTAACATGTGAGAATCTTTAAAAATTCTTAATAGTTTTTGGCATGTACATGATTCAGACTTCATCTGAAGCAGCTATTACTTTTTTCCTTAGTTTTACTTTCATGTCTTGAGAGCTTGTTTGGAGGTTCTAGCAGGGGAGCTCAGCTAGTCTGTATACCCTTGAATGAAGACCACTCCTCCTCTATCAGGGAAGGTCATCCTCTTTGACCAAGCACACAGCTTTGCAGCTTCGGGTGGGATGCACATGGAGTGGTGAGGGAGCAAGGGGACTCCCACCTAGCCAGCCAGATCAGCTAAAATCAACCTGGGCGATCAGTGGGGTGACAGATGTCACAGCCAGTTCATCCTCACATCCATCTTATTTACATGTCTTTAAAAACAAAATCTAATATGAATCAAAAGTGAAAGTCTGATGTGGACAAGAACATACCATTTTGCGAAACAGAAAAAAAAATCTATTTTTCTAAGAACAAACTAACGGGATTTAAATCTTTTCCTTTTTATTTTAAATATCAACACATGCCTGCCATGAAGATAATAAATGCCTACCTCAAAGGGTTGTTAGGAGAACTAATTAATTAATACATGTAAAGTGCTCAGGATAGAACCAGACACATAATAATGGTCAATAAGTGATATGTTGTTCTTTTCTTTTTTTAAAGATAGACTTGAGAGAGACAGAGAATTTTTCAATATTTTTTTATTTTTTAGTTTTCGGCAGACACAACATCTTTATTTTTTTTTAATTTTTATATGGTGCTAAGGATTGAAACCAGCACCCCGCACATGCCAGGCGAGCATGCTACTGCTTGAGCTACATCCCCAGCCCCATATGTTGTTATTTTCTATGGCTTGAATAAGTCTCCCAGAGTTCTGTGTTGGAAATTTAATCCCCAATGTGGCAGCTGTTTAGTCATGAGGGCTCTGTCCTCCTGAGTAGATTAATGCCATTATTAAAAGGGCTTGCAGAAGCGGGTTTGCTGTCTTACACCCTTGCCCTTCTGCTTTCTGCCATGAAGAAGGCTCTCACCAGAAGCCAACATCTTGATCTTGGAATTCCCAACCTCTAGAACTGTGGGAAAATAAATTTGTGTTCTTTTAAAATTACTTGTAAATTTTCTTAATATCCTATTATTGCCCACAAAGCAGACTAAGACAGTGTTGGTTATAGTTTTTCTTATTATGTTGTTGAACTTTAATAGAATGTACAATATAGCAACAAAAACAATCTTGTAGGAAGTATTTTACCTAATGAATAGTCTGAAACAATTGTTAGTTTGATATCTGATTTTATTTTTATGGGAAATCCAAATCATTTTATTTAAATTATTGAAGGCTGAAACCAGAGGACTCATATAATAGTATAATAATAATAGCTTTATTGAACTTTTAGTATGCCTCAATCATTTCTAAGAAGCTGTTTATATAACAACCTTATGAGTTGGTTACTTTCACCAACTTGTAACGTGGGAAAACTGGGGAACTAGTAGATTAAAGTAACCTGTCTAATGCCACAGAACTAGAAAGGGGAGTAGCCAGAATTCAAACTCGGGTAGTCTGACTGCAGAGTCTATGCTTTAACTATTTATATGCTACCATACCACTTCAGACTGGTTTGGCTGAGGTATGCTGCTAGATTAAAGACATGACATAGACATAGCTTATGTCAATCAGCCATAAGAAATTGTGGGAATGGAGAAGAGCAAAAGCAATCAGATATATGTACTCTGTGTTAGATAAGTGAGGATCTACCCTATGTTTACCACTTGGGTTTTGGGGGAAACACTTCCCTCCTCATACCCACGTGGGCATCCTGCTTTCCAGAACAGGCATCCAGGATGGGGTAGAAAACTTATTGGAACAATATGCTGTGGGACAGGCTCTGAGTTTCAGTTTTCTTATGCTTCTAAGTGAGGACTTAGGACACTTTCCTGGCTATCTTGATAGTCTCAGAGGAGCTAATGAGAGCTGAGGTTAGGCTGAGTTAGCCAGGAAAGCCACAGGCTCTAGCCAAGTAAGAAAGACCGGACTGATTTTATCAGTAGTAGACTTTAGCTGAGGAAGCTAGTGAGGCAGGTAGGAGTTGGACAGGCCAAGGGGATGTCTTGGTAGGCCAGAGGAATCAGTTTGTGTGACTGTGTAGGGACTCCTAATTCCCCAGTTTTCTCCCTTTCCCCATAATACTCACTGCCCTCCTCTGGTCTGGTAGATTACATTGGTATCAGCACAGTGGGTTTTCCCCAAAATTAATCAGTCCCATTATATTATTATTCTCCATTCATTATATGCAGTATTTTGTAATTGAATTACTGAGACTAGTAGAGCAGTGATGGGAAAAATATACATACAAAGAGTTACAGTATTTTAATTCAGAGTTCTAGCTTTCAAGTAATAGAAACCACCTTCAGTTAGCTTGAGTGAAAATGGAAAATGTTCTTATAGATACTTGGATTGTGTTCTTTTTTTAATATTATTTTTTAGTGGTAATTGGACACAATACCCTTATTTTTATTTATTTATTTATTTATTTTTATGTGGTGCTGAGGATTGAACCCAGGACCTCGCATGTGTGAGGTGAGTGCTCCACCTCTGAGCCACAACCCCAGTCCCTTGAATTGTGTTCTTACAGATAGAATTCAAAGACTCAGGAAGAGACTGAAGTCAGGAACTGGAAAGATGTTAGGACTTTATTTTTGCTTTTTTTTTTTTTTTTTTTTAAATCAGGATTGAACCTATGTGTGCTTAACCACAACCCCAGCTCTTTTTTTATTTTTTATTTAGAGACTGGGTCTCACTAAATTGCTTAGGGCCTCACTAAATTGCTGAGGCTGGCTTTGAACTTGTTACCCTCCTGCCTCAGCCTCCTGCTGGGATTATAGGTATGCCACTGTATCCAGCTGCTTCTTTATCTCTTTATCTTTTTGTCTCTTGTTTCCTAGTATCTGCTTCATTCTCTTTTTCTCTGCACCTTTGTCTTCTCTACTTCTCTGGTCTATGCAGAAAAGTCCCCTACTGTTTTACCCCCATACCTGAACTTATATGTGATAGTCTTATGCTAATTTCTTAGTGGAGACATACTTACCATTTCTATATCCCAATTCTAAATCCCATGAGTAGGGCTGGGGTATGGTTCAGAGCACTTGCCTAGGATGCATGAGGCCCTAGGTTAAATCCCTAGCATGGTAAAACAAATACAACAACAAATTTACCAATCTAAATTCCCATGAGAGGAATTTTGATTGACTCAATATGGGTCAGGTGCCTTCTTTTGGACCAATCCTCCATAGCCAATTCCCAACTGCAAACAATATGTAGGTGCCAACCTCTGAAGATCTTCTGGGGCTCTAGGGTGGGTACTGTTGGGAAGTAGAATCACATAAACTTCAAAGTATATTTTAGTAAATATCTAGTGATAGGATAAAGGTTCATTTTAAAAGGTGTTAGAAGAAATAATTATTGAGAAATTGAATGAGAATGATTTCCTCCTTAGGAAAATTGTGTTTGTTGTTGTCTCTCCCAGGGATCCTTGTGTTTTTTCACACTAATACTTCTCTATACCAAATTGTACCTTTTCTTCATTTATTCACAGCTTCGGAGATGCAATTTAAGATGACACCTATCATCATTTTTTGACATACACAAAGGTCTTTAAGAACTCATTCCTTGTATAAAATTCATTTTTACTTTTGGGTACCAGAGACTGAACTCAGAGGCACTTGCCCACTGAACCACATCCCCAGCTCTATTTTGTATTTTAAGAGACAGAGTCTCACTGAGTTGCTTAGCACCTCACTTTTGCTGATGCTGACTTTGATCACAACCTTCCTGTCTTAGCTTTCTGAGCTGCTGGGATTTTTAGTACTATATGATAAATTAAGGAGAAAGGGAGAAGGGGAGGAGGATGGGAGGGAAAAGGGCCAGGAAGAGGGGGAGATCATGAACTGAAATAGATTTTCATGCATGTGTGAGTTTGTTGGAAAGAATCTAACTACTATGTTTAGCTATAAAGCGCTAATAAAAAATTATAGCTCATGAACAAGAGAGAGAGAGAGAGAGAGAGAGAGAGAGAGAGAGAGAGAGAGAGAGAGAGATACTGTTGCCTCTTGCTCCCTATGCCTTCCCAACTGCTTAAACTCTTCTTCTGCCAAATAATTTGTTGAACTTTCATGGGCTGGAATTGGGGTGAAATAGGCAACAGAAGAATAGAGTGGCAGTGGGGAAGGATCTAGTGACTCCATCCTCCCAAAACTATTCAGCCTGAAGTCTTCTATGTTACAATGAAGTTACCATCAACCTAGCTATTCTCCTTTCCTCTCCTCCATTGGCCCTACCATATCTAATGCATGAAGTCCTGCAACTCAAGTTCAAAAATGTTGAATCTGTTCACTTACTTCTCTTTCCAAAACGATGCCACCAAAATCTATCACTTAGACTATTATGACAGCTTCCTCATAGGTTTTCCTACCTATAACTCTTTACTACTACTATTACTATTACTTTATCACAATCCATTCCACATGGCAGGTAGGGTGATATTTTAAAAATGTAATTATATGATCATGATAGAGTATCCTGAATCAGACTTGTCCGCCCACTGTAAGCAACTAGAAAACTGGATAAAATATATTTGGTAAAAGTTTTGGATATTACACAAGAAACAGCCTGGAAACTTGATCCTGAGATGACAAAAACAAATGAATTGAGCCTTAGAATAATCTTGGCTTCATACCTGGGGTACTTTCCAAACTGCAATGCAGGAAGTAAAAAAAAAAAAAAAATAACCATTGATATTTTTTCTTCTATACTGTTGAACAGTAAGGTAAATTATATCAAATGACTTATGGGTATTAAAACAACCATGCAGATAAATCATATTTGCTCAATTATATTCATTTTCTTATTTTTCCTATAATTGCCTATAATGCCTCTTAAACACTGCTTATGGGTTTTATCTCTCATATTCCAGTCCTTCTTTGGAAACTCTTTACTTATTTCACTTATTTAGTGAAGATTCTGAAACAGATGCCTGTGTTATCAGGGTGAGCAGCACCCTGACAGAGCAGGTTCCTGCTTAGGAGGTGTGAGCCGCCTGGAAAAGTAAAAAGTCTGAAATAATAGTAAGAAATAAAGACAAAGCCAGAAATTAGATATAAAAAGAAGAGTGTCTGATGGGTCTTGTAGCCCTGATAGGAGCTGGAACTGAACAACGAAAAAAAGGCCCTGGTTCTTTAAGGGGGAGTATACCAAAGGCTGGGATAAAGTTTCAGCAGGAGAAGCCTATTTTTTCCCCTTTATTAAATTATTTATTTATTCTAATTTGTTTTACATGATGGCGGAATGCAGCTTATTTCATATTACACATGTAGAGCACAATTTTTCAAGTCATTGGTTGTACTCAAAGTGTTTTCACACCATTTGTGTCTTCATACATGTTACTTAGGGTAATGATGTCTAACTCCTTCCACCTTCATTCCTACCCCCTTGCCCCCTCGAAGAGTTGGTTAAAGTTATAATATTATTATTAAGGTTATTCTTATTATATGTTATTATTATTATATTATCCTCATTTACCATGACAAGTACTTTCTGTTCTGTAGCTAATGGATTTAAGATTTAAACAAGAATTATATAATTATAATTTAACATTTAGAAATGAAGCTCTGACTCTGTATGCATAGGGATACTGGAAAAAGAGGAATATGGGCAACTCTGTGATAACACACAAATTGAATTAATAGCATTTATTATTGTAAATTTGAACTAAGTAGGTATTTAGAAATATTGTTTTATCAAAAATACTCTGTAATCAAACATTTCATGGTGTGCAATATAGAATAGTAACTTACTTTCTTTTTAAAAAAATTTTAACTTATATATGACAGTGGAATGCATTTTAATTCTTATTACACATATAGAACACAATTTTTCATATCTCTGGTTGTATACATAGTATATTCACACCAATTCATATCTTCATACCTGTACTTTGGATAATAATGATCATCACATTCCACCATCATTAATAACCCCATGCCCCCTCCCTTCCCTCCAACCTTGTAACTCACTTTCTTTGTATTAATTTATTCTTTGATGTGTATTAATGTACTATGTCATTTTTTAGGTCCCCTACTGTGACATTTAGACATAGGACTAGACAAGTCTATTTTATTGTAGCCTAAAAGGTTTAACGTTTGATGACCCTTCCTGTTCTCCCTAAGCGCCTCATGTTCTTTTTCTTATAACTACACATGCATTCTCACATAAATACTTTTATGGGTGAGAAGTTCTCCTGCTGTTGAGATCTATGAAGTTTAAATAAGGGAGAGTGTAGCCATAAGGAAAATAAAGTAGTATTTAACAGTTGGTGCTGAAATAAAACTGAGCTCCTCACTTACTACCCTTGTCCTGCCTCCCAGTCTCTGAAGCAAATTAGCTGGACCTGACACCAATTCTTGAGAATGTCCATTTCTTTCTGTACCACACATCAAGTTCATGACAACTGTGACATCTCTTCCTCATTTCTTCAAGGTTATAGTTGAGGTTAATTTGGGTAGAGTCCTACCATGAAAGTGCTAGGAATATGTGTTCTCATTTATGAAACATTTATTGGGTCTTCATGGTGATATTAACCAGTTCTTGTTTTTCTTTTCCGTTATTTGGAATTTTGAGGCATGTGATATTCAGAACTGGACAGGATTTGATACAGATTCATAAAATTTCTTTACTCTTCTCAAGATTATATTATTGCCATCTATGATAATAACAACTAATCTCTAGCGAGTGCTTGCTATGGGCTAGGCACTGTGCTAAATATTTTGTACACTTGATTGGTAATGACTATATTAATAGTGAAGTAAGTTGACCATCCTTTCAGATGAGAAAACTAAGGCCAAAGAAGATTAGGTAATATTCCTGAATATCAGGTAACATTCCTGAGGTCACATAGCTATTAAGTGATAGAACCTGGATTTAACTTCAGATCTGTCTGACTCTACATCCTTTTCACTAAATAATATTTGTTTTTCAACTAACAATAGATATAAATATTCGAGGAATGCACAACTATACAGGGGCAGCAAAAACAGAAAAAGGAAAAAGATTATTGTATTTCTATTATCACACTTGACAAATTTTTATTTTAGACTTTAACCATTTGAAGTGAAATTATAGATGAATTGGTTAAAGTTCTGAAAGTTTTGTTAATATTTCTAATGGGGAATGGATAGTCTTGTCTCAAATGCAGTAGTCAACAAAAGTTGATTTTCTGTTTCTAGTTTTAAGACAAAATTGGCTGCAGCATTGGCAAGATGTCGAATCAAACATGATGCTCTTTCAATTTATCATATTCTGCCAGAAATAGTTAGGAAACAGGAACTAAGGGCCTCTACTCTGCCACTTTATGCTTGGATAAATACTTGTAAAATCAGGTAAGAGTTTTAATTAAATTCTTTATTCATACTTCAAGTCGCCATCCTTTTAAAAAAATGTGATAAGGGGCTGGGGTCGTAGCTCAATGGTAGAGCGCCTGCCTCGCGTGTGTGAGGCACTGGGTTCGATCCTCAGCACCACATAAAAATAAATAAAGATACTGTGACCATCTACAAGTAAAAAAAATTTTTTTTAAATTGTGGTAAGAAATATTACCTTTTTAAGGGTGAAGGGGTACATCCAGGGGAATGATTAGAGAATCATAGTTTAATTCCAGAGCTTATCACCAAATTACCAAAGGTGATTATATAAATATGTTAACTTTTGTTTTCTAATTATCTTTTAGCTTATTATTGGTTAAAATTGTGAGTTTTACTAGATGCAATATATGTAGTAATATTTTTCTTTGTTGCTGAAAAAAAGTATTAATGTTAAATATATCTTAATGTTGTATACTTACAGTCCTGAAGAAGTTTTTATTAATTTGAAGAAAAGAGGCTATAATGAAGTCAAATCTGTATGTCATATTGATGATAAAGTCTTTGCTGTGGACCAACATTGCTATGATGTCTTAATATTTCCATCTCATCTAAAAAAAGATCTTATAAATATAGATCTTTTCAAAGATTATAAACTTATTTTTCAGGTAAAGTATTATTTACTTTCATTGTAATTTTCAACAATGCTACTTAGTCAAAGAATCTCTCTACCTAAAAATAATACCTCACTGTTTATATTTTTTATAGATTACCAGGGAGGTTATAAGGCCTAATTGTCACCTTGAATAAAATTAATAACTCCATAGTCAGTGTTTCTATTATGTTTGTCATCTTAATCTCATATGGAGTTGTAAAGAACATATTCTCCTCTCAAGACTCATAAATGAGATTACTGACAACTGAAAGATGCACTTTTGTTTTCTTCTAAGATTTGAAAGAAGCTTTTTTCTTTTTTTCTTCTTCTAAGAAAAGATTTGAGAAAAGCTACAATGAGATCTTTTCTTTCTTCCAATTCTGGGGAAAATATTAGGACATCCTGTATATAAAAAACAAATCATGTATCATGCTGTGCTCTCTTTAATTTAGTGTCATAGATTTGATTTGTAAGAGGTACATAATTGATATGAATACAGGCAGAGAATGTGAGGTAGACTGTGGTTTCAATGAAATGAAATAATTAGGTGAAATTCATTTTTATATTCTTCGACTCCAATTCTTGACTCAAATTAGACTTCTAGGGTGAATTCCTGGGCAGAATCTCCTTATCAAAAACTAAGGTCAAGGACTGGGGATTTAGCTCAGTTGGTAGAGCACTTGCCTCGAATGCTTAAGGCCCTGGGTTACATTCCCCAGCACCACAAAAATGAACAAACAAAAAACCTGAAGTCAATAGCAGAAGCTAGTTCATCAAATCGTCTTTCATAATATTTTCAAACTTCATAATTTTAATCTCTGTGAGCTAGTAGTAGTTTAGGTGACAATATAATGGGGAAGAAAAAATGGCAATAACCAGAGAATGTGTTTTCATGAAGTGGTAAGAATGGGAGCTAAGACAAGACATTTCTAATCTATTAATTATATTTTAGAGATTTTAGCATTGTCTTTTATACAAAAAAATCAAATGATAGTCATTACTTAGGCTAAATGAATTTAAGGTCTTTTGTTATAAATATATTTATCAGATATATTTGTTAACTTTTTATTTAGACATATATAATGATATTTTAATCTAAAAAGGACGAAGTAGCTCTTCAATATTCCTACCAAGTATTTTCTTTTATCTAAAACAAAAAGAAGTCAGCTTATATTTCAGTCATACTCTTTGAAATTCTCATCATACTATTATTTTGTAGGATAAATCTCGAAGTCTTGCTGTTCATTCTGTAAAGTCTTTAATAAATTTGGATGATGACGTCTTAATGGTCAACACAGGTTCATGGTACACAGTTGCCCATATGTCAGTCCTAACAAATGATAATAATTCAAAAATATTTGTTTGTGGAGTAAACTCACAAGAGAAGGATCCTGACTTAAACAACCTTTTCAAAAAAATGGGATGTAAAAGTACGTACAAATATGTATTGTTTGGTGATTATTGTTCTACAGGATTTTAAAGACATTAAAAATGTTCGAATTAATTTATTTTTTATAATGTAAAATCTCCATAAACTATACTCTTAAAATTCTCACTCATCTATATTGCATCAGCTGTTATTTTTTAATGTTTTTTTAAAGGTATTTATTTTTTAGTTGTAATTGGACACAATACCTTTATTTCACTTATTTATTTTTATGTGGTGCTGAGGATCGAACCCAGTTCTCGTACATGCAAGGCAATCGCTCTACCACTGAGCCGCAGCCACAGCCCTATTTTTTTTTTTAAGAGAGAGAGAGAGAGAGAGAGAGAGAGAGAGAGAGAGAATTTTAATATTTATTTTTTAGTTTTCAGCAAACACAACATCTTTGTTTGTATGTGGTGCTGAGGATTGAACCCGGGCAGCACGCATGCCAGGCGAGCGCGCTACAGCTTGAGCCACATCCCCAGCCCCAGCCCTATTTTTTAATGTTGATTTAACAACTGTAGGTTAAAGTAATTAATATCTTTGTACTTTGGAACAGTGTTTGATATTTAGTTGTGAACATAATTTGAGACCCAAATATTTGGTTCATGTAGATGGGGCTCATCATTTAATAAATCAGAATATATTCACATAAGACTTAATTGACAATGATAATATGAAGGTCTAAAAACCAAATCTTTTAGGATTCCTGTTTTTTAAGAAAATTTCCACTCAATTGTGTATCCTAAAGATCACATTTTATTATAGGTTCAGTGAAACTGAAAAAGTGAGCAAAACTGTGATAGAGTCACAAGGCCAGGAAGGCAAAAGGTAGAATTCAGGGCTTGACCAAAAGAAGTAACCTGATAAATACTGACGATTTTTCTTAGAGCACAGGATAATGATCATGGAGCCCAGATTCCAGTTATGGTAATTCCCAATTGGACAAGGTGATCTAGGACTGCAAGTGCCCAGGTTTAACTAGCCCATTCTTTGCCTGCCAAAAGCAAAAGTAAATTCTCTCTGGAAGAAAATAACATCATCCTGAGTTTCCAGTTATCTTCCTAAATTTTTCCAAATGCAATGTCTGGTACTCAGTTGAATAAATAGATAAAAAATAAGAAAAGTAATGACTCAAATATTAACCTAATAACAGATTCTACATTTGATCTTAGCCAAAATACCAAGAAGTGATAGATATGATTCAAATAAATAGAAGATACTACAATAGAATCAGACCCACACAGGATCCACATACTGAGTATATTTATTATTATTATTATTTTTTTTTTTTAAATGGAACCAAGACAGATGTGGTGAACATACCTGTAATCCCAGGTACTTAGGACACTGAGGTAGGATTGCAAGTTCAAAGCCTGGAGAGATCCTGGTCTCAAAATAAAAATAAATAAATAAAAAGGGCTGGGGATATAACTCAGTGGTAAAGTACCCCAGCGCTGCTCCTCCCACAAAGCCAAAGAAAATTCTAAAATGGAAAAATATGAAATTAAAAAATAAGTGGGATATAGCTCAGGGGTAGAGCATGTTTGATCTCTAGTACCAAATAAAAAGGGGGAAAAAAGAGGAAGAAGGACTGGATGGGTTAACAGTAAATTATTAAAGCTAAAGAAAAAGAAGTAAACTGATGGCTAGAAAGAAATATTCAGACTAAAGCACAGGGGCACAGAAGTTTGAATAATATGAAAGAGACTCAGGAGACTCAGTGATCCATTGATAGCATGTGTGTTATAATTGGAATCTCAGGAAGAGAGAAGAGGAACTGGGAAGAAACAATTATTTGTTTTTCAGGTTGGGAATTTTCCAAAATGAATGAAAAACTTTAAGCCATAGATTCAAGAAGACATGTGAACTCTAGTAAGAATATGTGGCAAACATATGCTGTAAGTTTATTTGTTTTCCCCCAAAATTCACCTGTTAAAATTCAAACTCCCCAGGTGATATCTTAGGAGATGGGGACTTTGAGAGGTGATGAGTCCTAGAGTAGGATTAGTGCCCTTATAGAGTATAATGAGAACCCATAGAGTTAAGTCAGCTCCCTGAAAAGGGGCTAACTCACTCAACAAGACCCTTGTTAATTCCTTCTGAGGGCAGCATTTTCAGTGATCTAATTACCTCTCACTAAGCCTCACCTCTCAAAGGTTCTACTGCCTCTAGAACACTGAGACTAGGCTTCTAATACATGAGTGCTTGGGGGACACATCACATCCAAAATATAGCACACTACTTTTGAAGCCTCAAACTACAAACAACCTAAATATCTACACAATAGAATTTTATACAGAATAAATTGTTACCACAAATGATGTCATGGGAGAATCTCATAATATTGATCTTCTAACCAGTAGAGAATTTTTTTTTTTTTGGCGGGGGGGCAGGTACCAGGGATTGAACTCAGGGGCACTTGGCCACTAAGCCACATCCCCAGCCCTATTTTGTATTTTATTTAGAGATAGGGTATTACTGAATTGCGTAGCACCTCTCCATTACTGAGGCTGGTTTTGAATTCAGCTCCTCCTATCTCAGCCTCCCAAGCCTCTGGGATTACAGGCATGTGCCACTGCGCTTGGCTAGGAATTTTTAAGACAGAATATTAATGGGATGAGGTAGAATAGTATTAATAAAAGGAAATGTATATAAAGAAATTTTAATGATTTATTCATTTAACAAATGTTATTGATGCATGTTATTAAGTATCAGGCACTAGTATATTTTTGGGGATACAGCAATGAAACAAATTCGGCTTTTATATGAAGCTTACATTATAGTATGAGAAAGATGGGGTGGGGGGAACCATGAAGAAACAATAGGTTAAGGGGATAGAGAGTGTTGTAAAGAGGTTATTCTTTTTCATTTTTTTGTTTTTTTTACAGATGGTGATTAGGAAAGGCCTTTCTGATAAAGGGTATTTGACAGGAGACTTCAATGAACTGTTGGAGACCTGAGGAAATTGAGGGATATATGTGGGAAGAGCATTCAAAGCAGAGGAATAGTAAGAATAAAAGTCTTGAGGTTGTAGCATGTTTAGCATGTTCCAGGAACAGTAAGGAAATGATAGGGATGGAGCAGACTGAGTGAAGAGTATGATGAGGTCACAGGGTATATCTGGGAACAAAAATAGGGCATTCTATGCTGAAGGACTTGACCTTGAATGAGATGGAAATTCATTAGTGGATTTCAAGCAGAAGAGTGACATGCTTACCAGTATTTGGTTACTCTTTGGAAAATAGTTTAGGGTAAAAGGTATTAGTGGAGAGATTAGTTAGGCAGTTTTTAAAAGTGCAGGTGTGAAAAGTTCAGAATTAGCAGATTTGGGGATAAGAGAATTTGAAATATGAATCTGCTGGCCTCCTAAACAAAGCTTATTTCTTTATTCTGCATTTCTGTTTTTCCTTTCAAACCATGCATGTTATTCATGTCTCAGCCCTCTCCATTGCTCATAGGCATGCATATAAGAGAGGGAAGCATCTATTGCCAAGGTAATGAAAATTGTAGGTGGCCAGCACCTACTTAACATTGCTGTTTACACAACATGTGCTCAATAAATATCAGAAGAAGAAAAAAGGGGGCAGGTGTGTAAAGATATTGACTTCCACCTGGGTGATAATGCCAGAGGTTGTGAGAAACATATCTTGAAGTCACTTTATTGGATTGGATATAGGATGTGAGAGAAGGGAAGAGTCAGGATCCACTAAGGCTTTCGGTCGTGTTAGTTTTTTGTTGGCTTGTTTGCTTTTTGCAGTTCTGGGGCTCGAATCCATGGCCTCACACATGCTGGGCAAGCACTCTCTACCACTGAGCTACATCCGCAGCCTCATGTTAGGCTTTAAGATGTCTGTTCCACATTAAGTGGAAATGTAAAGCAGGCTTTTAGGTACACCTTTTTGGAGTTCAGGAAAGAAGTCTGTGTTAGAGATATAAATTTAGAACTTGTCATTATGTGGATAATATTTAATGTCCTGACCACTATATAGCTGTAGAAAAGAAAGCTATAGTAAAGAAAAGAAACCCAAAGGCTAATTCCTAGACATGTCAATACTAAGAGATCAGGAAGTTAAATAAGAGGGATCCAGAAGGGGAGCCATGAGAGAAGAACCAAGAAAAAGTGTGTTCAGAAACTAGGCCAGTTACTTCTTCACCTCCTGAATTTTGTGATACTGGGCCTGTACTCTGCATTATCCATTTCCCCATTGCCAGCTGCTTCAGTCATTAGCGGGTCCTAGAGACTACAAGGCTGAAGCCGAAGAAGAGAGGAGGACTTTTCTTCTCCAGTGTTTGTTTATCCCTGTGGTTCTTGGCAGTGTTAATCAGAGCTTATTTCTTTGATAAACTTGCCCTCTTCTCAGGGGGTTGTTTTTCTGTTTTTGTTTTTTGGTACTGGGGTTTGAACCCAGGGGTGCTTAACTACTAAGCCACATCTCTAGTCCTTTTTATTTTTTGAGACAGGGTCTTCCTAAGTTGCTTAGGGCTTTGCTAAGTTGCCCAAGATGACCTCAAACAGAGGGTTGATTTTAAGGTAGAGGTACACATGGTTATCACCTAGAGAGACAGATGCTCATAAACTACATACAAGGCCCCTAGAGGTATGGATGGTATTTCATGCCTGTTTCTGTAGGTTTAGCACCTCAGACTGTGCCTTATAAATGTTCCTGACAGCCATTTCCCCCCTAGGGATGACAGAATATAAATGGTAAAAATGAAAAAGGGAAAATAGCCTATATTATTGACTATCCTTACTGTATATGAACTGTATATGAGACACCATGCTAAGCTTACCAACTTTGTCTTGATGTTCACTATTTGCACAAACCGTTGCAGTCCATAAATAAGGACATGGAGGCTTAGAGAGTTTAAGACACACAGCTAGGAGTCAAATTTGAGTCTGTTTCTAAAGCCCATTTCCCCTACTCTATCATGCTACTTTAGATTGAACCTAAAGTTCAGAATAAGAAATTTAATTTTACATTTGAAAATCATTCTGCGGAGGAAATAGCATCTATTAAGAAAATTCCTGTATTAACTTTGGGAGATTATCAGAGAATACTCTGTCCTAATGCAATAAAATGAGTTTTTATGGGGTTAAGGGTTTTAAGATAAATTATATATATTATACATACATAAAGCAGTACCACTATATTGCATTTAGATTTTTTTAGCTAATTAAATTACATTAATTTTCTGTGTTTTCCCCAGATATTGAAATACTTCCTGAGACATTTACTGACATTGAATCAAAGGATCAGAGGTTACAGAAAGTTAAAGTGATTCTGCTGTTGCCTCGTTGTTCAGATCTGGGTGTTAGTAATCCAATAGAATTTATTTTAAATGAACACGAAGGTACTTGTTTTAATTTCTAAATTATTGAAATTAGTTGATGATAACCCATCATTTTCTATTTTAGAAAATAAATTTTATTTTCTCTTTTCTGCATTAGCCTCCAGATTGAATGAATTCTTTCTTCTGAATCTAAATGACTTATATAGCTACTTAGTTGATTCTCTCAAAGAAAACTTGGAGAAAAACAATAAAATGTTTTTAATATTCTTATTGAAAAATAGTACTAAGACTGAACATAATTATCTTAATTAATTTTTAAAATTTTAAGTCAATACTTTAATGTTATCTAGTTTTAATAAGTATTTTCCATGAAAATTTTCATTAATAGTCAAAATGATTGAGAAATAGTGCAATAACATCAATATATGAAAAGTACCTAATAGTAATTTATTTTAAAGTATTTACTTGTTTTAAATTTAGATACAGATTTACTTAAAGATCTCTCTCAAGGAGGTACTTCAGAAGATAAACTTCAGGTTCTTGCTCAACATCAATATGAACAGCTAGCACATGCGATGAAATGTAAGTCTGTCATTAGAACAATATTGTTAAAATACAGTGTTAATCTTAGAAACCAAAACAAATTTTCTAGAACATAAAGTCTTAGTGCCTTCAAGTAACAAATTATTTTTATCAACTTAACCTGCCTTTTAAAAAAACATACTTTAAACATAAGCTAGCATAATTTTTCTTAATGTTAAGATGAAATAATTATGGATGTTCATAATTGTTTATTTTCATCTTCCCTATTTCTGATCTTCAACTTCTTACTTGACATATTTTTCTGTTGTCATTTTACCTACACCTATCAACTCTTCTGCAGTCCATATTTTAATCCAAAGTTTATTTCTCTTAGTGCTGAATAGAGTCCAGAGTTATAGAAAAAGCCTAGAACTCTTGATTTTAAATCTGAGTAACAAGGCTCTTTAATTATTTATATCATTGCTTTAATTACTCCATTTGGGTTTTGAGTGCCACTGCTTTTCCACAGGTGAACAAAGAAATCTGGAAGTCTTTAAGAAACTAATAAACTTTTACTAGGTCAGTGTATATTTATCAAGTGCCTATTCTGGGTCAGGAATTGAACTGGATGTTAGGCTTATGAACATAAATAGATGTTTCTAAAATAAAGACTCAAAGATGAGTCTGTGAGTATAGATAATTCAGTATATAAAGATACTGACTTATACATGAATTATAAATAAGGGAAAGTAGCAGAGAGGAAGTCTGTTCTTTTGGTTAATGTTGCTAAAAACATTAATTTGAATGTGACAATGTATATATGAACTATGAAATAAGTTGGTTTAGAAAATCAGGAGATTGGTAAGTAAAAATTTTTACTAATGTACTTTCATCAAATTTTAATTGAATGTTTAAAGCTTTAAAAAGACTTCTGAAAGAATCATGAAAAGCAAAAGAATTTTAGTGACATACACTCTATTGTGATGCCAAAGAAACACATTATTTAGCAACCTTGAGATTAGGAAATCTGCATCACTGGAAGACATTCAGTAAATTAAGTTCTATAATTTTCCCATAAAAAAATGTTAGGTAATGCCTTATCAGGGTTGGACTCCCAATTTTCATAGAAATTACTAAAAGCTCCATTTGAAATTGACCATATAAAAGATAACTATGATCATTTCTCCTATTAGTTGTAAAAAATAATTTAAAAAAATTTTTTTTTGGCACTGGGGATTGAACCCAGGGGCATTTTACTATTAAGTTATATCCTCAGTTTTTTCCTTTTCTTTTCTTTTTTTTTTTTTTTTGAGACAGCATCTTGGTAAATTACCCAGTCTAGCCTCAAACTTGTGATCCTGTGCTTCAACTTCTCATGCAGATGGGATTACAGGCATGTACCCAGCTACATTTTTATGTGCCCAGCTACATTTTAAAGTTTTGGACATTTATCGGTCAATTGTTTGCCAGGCACCCTGCTATTTTTATATTTTATTTAATCCCCACAAAATCGTCTCCCTTAGCTTCCATGCCTTCTCTGAACACAGTAACAAGGTGGCTAGGCTCCCCAAATTTCTTTGCTCTCTAAACTCATTCTTGCCACTACTCTGTTTTCTAAAACCACATTTCAGACACTTCTCACTATGTCCTTTATACTACCAAGGACTGTTAACTTGAGAAGCCCCTGACACCCAGGTCATTCCTCATCTGAATAAGATCTATAATATTCCCTTTTTTTGTCTTTATCCACATCCCCTTGTCGGTCCTTGTCTCCTACTTTGTACTTTCTAGAATAGTTGTCTGCAACAAAAATCCCTATATTTTAATACTTCTTTGAATGTTCTCTTTTTTTCTCCTATAACTTGCCCTTCTCTTGAGACCAGTATTTCTCTAAATCTCTCCTCTTGTTCTTTTCTGAGCCAATTATTATCACACTTTCACTCTTGCCACTAACCTGAGATGGTCCTGTGAAGATCACCCGTGACCCTCTTCCCACATGCTGTTACATCAACTCACAGTCTTCGTCTAACTTGATCTAGCTGTGATAGTTGATCTAATTGATCATATTCTCTTCCTTCCCACATTACTTCACTTGTCTTCTAAGACACACCACCTCAATTTATTTCCCATCTCCTTGGCTTGCTATCCTATAGCGAGTATCCTCCCTATAGGATACTCTCTTTAGCCTCAGAGTATGTCACAGTTCATGTCTAGGATTCTTTTTTCTCTGTTTATACTTACTTCCTTGATGATCTTATCCAGTCTCATGAATTTAAACACTTCTGCGTGATTCCCAGATTTCTTCCCCAAACTCTTCAGTCTGTATCTTCAGTTGTCTTCTTTCCATCTCCAGCTAGTGATTAATAGGCCTTTCAAAGCTGATAGATCCAAAATGAAAGTCCTGTTCTTCCTGCAGAACTGCCATTTCAGTTAATGACAATATCAGTCTTCCATTTGTTCAGGTGAAAAAGCTTTACATTGTCCCTGACTCTTAGCCAGCCTGTCAGAAAACAAAGGAACTTCTACATTTAATATATATTTAGAATCCAGTCACCTCCACCACTACCACCACATCCATACCATCACCTCACTCTTGGTTTACTGCAATGATCTTCTATTTTGTCTACCAGCTTCCACCACTGCCCTCTACAGTTTATTTTCAACACAGCATTTGGAATGATCTTGTTAAAACAAATGGCTTCCCATCATCAAACTGAAAACCATCATCCAGTGGCCTGCACATCCTTACTATTTGGTGCTCAGACTCACATTTAAACACGTCATTGCCCACTACTCTGTCCTCATTCCCTCTGCTCTGATCAGACTGGCCCCCTTCATTTTCCTTGAACATTCCTTTAAACTTGCTGTTCCCTTACCTTAAAATATCCTTCCCTAGTTATCTCTGTGTCTGGCTCTCTAATCTTTTGAGTCTACCCACAGTCCTTCATCTCAGTGATGCTAGCTCTAACTAGCCTACTTAAAATTATAGCATTCCCCTGAAACTCTTTCCCACCCCTGCTTTGCTTTATCACCTAAATAGTTTTCCTGTTTCTTTGTCTTACTGTATTTATCCTCTGCTAGAAAGGAAGCTCCCTAGGGGCAGGGATTTTCGTTTTTGTTGTTCACTGATGTATACCAAAGCCTAAGTGCCTGGAATGTGGTAGGTGCTCAATTGGTATGAATACATTAATGAATTGCAGATCTTATATTACCTAATTTTACAGATGAAAAATCTGGAACTTTGAGTAATTTTCCCAGGTTCATGCCACAGCAAGGACAGAATTGGGATTCAGACTGACTTCTGTACATTTCTGGAGTTTTCTGAACCAATTAAGGTGATAAAGCTTATGAAAGAATGACTGGAAGTATCAAGCTCATGGGAATCTGCAGCATTTATTTCTTTGTGTTTGCAACTAGGTTGGTCATATTGATTCAGTTTTCAACTTTCATACAATCCATCTGGATTTCTATTACTTACTGGCCACTGACCACATTGCTAGTATAAGCTTCTGCTTTAAAAGAAGCTGTTCAAGCATCTCTGGAAATCATTCCCATCAGAACTCTGTGGTATTTGTACCAAATACATGTCTGGAAACATAAATTGCATTGGATCATTTATGGGGTCATTATATTAATTAAATCTTCTTTAAATATAGTTGTTAAAGCTCAAGCAGTGGTTTATTGCACATGCTCAGTTTATCCAGAAGAAAATGAAGCTGTTGTGAAGAAAGCATTGGAATTTCAAAACCAAGGGACTAAAATACAACCTTACAGGTAAGAAAGGAAGGCATTCTTCTGAACAACTCAAATAATCATTTTTTAAATGACAAATATAATGTTTTAAGTTACATAAGATATTCTGCTTTTTATTAGACTTTACTATGATCATTACCTTAACTTCTTACAACTTTAAAGTAGGTTTTATAAAGCCTTTACAACAGCATGGCACAAACATTTTCTTGCATATTAAAAGATTCTTTTGTTTTTGTTATTATTGTTAAAGTTAAAAGCATTTTGGACTTGTCTTGATTGGTTTCTGGGTAAACTGGGTCCAAATTTTATGTTCCTGATTTAGATACATGTATACCTCCATAGAATACAAATTAATATACAAATATTCTTAGAAAATAGACAGAAAATCATATCTGAAAATAGACATTTCTTAAGCTCTTGTAATCTTTGGTATCCATCAGAATTGAGGTAAAAATAACTGAGTTATCTATGGAAAAATGCTGCAATAAGCTAGGGATAGAGAGAAAGAGCATTAACACTACACTCTGAACTGTGGACATTAAGAAAAATTGCCTAGTGAAATATAACAGATAGTCTGTAAGAATCATTTCTTAATATCCTAAAGTTGTAGAACTTAAGAGTTGAATAAGTATTGCATGTTTAGATATTGCATGATTAAATAACATTAGGTGTTATCTACTCTGATCACCCATCCACCTGTTGCTTCTATTTCCTTCCACTGTCCTAGAAATATGCAACTCATTCTGGACTTTAGTCATCATAGTACTTTAGCCCAATGCATCCTGCTTCCATCCTCTATTGTAAAAATTTCACCTTACAAAATACTAATCTATAAAAATTTTCCAAATTCCACCCTCTTGAATATAACTGTTTTTAACAGCTTGACTTGTAGACTTCTAGATTTTTTTTCAGCACCAACGAATATGCATATTTTAAGCTTTAGTTGCTATTGTTAAATGACCCACCAAAATAGTCACTCTTATAAATCTGTTTCCCTGCAGCTTCATAAATGCTGAATTTCATCAGACTTTTAAATATTTACCCATCTGAGGGATGAAAAGATAAGATCTCACTGTTGACCAACTTTATTTTTCTGTTAGTGAGGCTGAGCATGTTTCAGTTTACTGACTGGGCAGTGTAGTGGGGAGTGGTCTTCAAACATGTTTTCTCAACTCCCTAAAATTTTTTTGAATAACTATGTGTCTTCTATGTTTTAAAATTGATGTTTAACATTTTTCATAAGTTTAAAAGTTGTGAAATATAGTTTTTTAGAATATTATATTACTTATATTTTAAATATATTTCTATCAAATCTTTGGACCTGCAGATTCATCTATTTAATTTAAGGAAAAATGATGCATTTCTTACTTACTTTATAAGACTAGTTCTCATTGTCAAAACCAGATTTACCTTTTAAAAAAAAGTCTGATTTTAGGGGCTGGGGCTCAGGCTAGTGTACTTTCCTACCATGTTCAAGGCCCCTGGTTCAATCCCCAGTACCAAAAAAAAAAAAAAAAAAAAAAAAGTCTGACTTTATTTTTTAATTCAAAGAAACATGCTAATGTGATTTACCTCTCAAGTTTTAATTTTAACATAGATACATAGAAATAAATAAGTGAAAGGAGGGAAGAGGAGGGAGAAAGGCAAGGAATAGAGGAAGGAGAGGGAAGGGAAGGGTGGAAGGGAGGGGAAGGGAGAGGAGAAGAAAGAAGAAAGAAGCAAGCTAGTTCAAGAACAGAGCTTTGGGGGTGGAGGTGGGGATGCATCTCAGTGGTGAGCACTTGCCAGAGTTTCACACCCAATTAAAGATTTCTTACCATGGGAGAAGACAGTTGCATTCTTGGGTTGTTCCTTTGTTTAGCCTCTTATAGATCGTAATTAACATTCCAGGACAGTGTACTAAAACAAGGTAGGTAACAGGTGTAAGTGGGAGAAGGGTATTGAGAATGGAGAGGAGGGAAAGGATGATGTAAAACAGAGTTAATGAGGACAGGAGATGTGGCTCAGTGGTAGAGAGTTTGCCTAGCATATGGGTAGGATCCTCAGCATGGCAAAAAATTAAAAAATTAAAATTAGATTAAATATGATTGATTACATTAACTACCTCAGTAGGTCTTTGTGGAGGTTAAATACATGAACACATGAACAGTACCTGGCACATACTAAATGTTCAGTAGTTTTTATTGTCATAGTTGTTATTAATTTGTTCATATACTTTGCCACTTCTTCAACTGAATTATTCATTTTTTTATCTTATTGTATATTAGTGCTTTTAGCTATTTTCATATAAACTACACATTTTATTTACTTACTTATTTTTGGTAGTACTGGGGATCAACCCAGAGCCTGTGCGTGCTAGGCAGGCACTCTATCCCTGAGCTATGTGCTAACCCCTATAAATGCTTTTGCCAGTTTTAATACTTTAAAAATTTTCTCTTTTATATTTAATAATTGACTAAAGTGTTGATCAAGCTTTAGTTTTTCTGAAAATATTCCTTCCCCATCCCCTCAAAATGGCCTTTTTTTTTTTTTTTCCGGTATCAGGGATAGAACCCAGGGGTATTTATCCACTGAGCCACATCCCCAGCCCTTTTTATTGTTTATTTAGAGACAGGGTCTCACCAAACTGAACTTGTGATCCTCCTGCCTCAGTCTTTTGAGCAGCTGGGATCACAGGTGTGTGCCACCATGCCCACCCAGCTTAAAATGGTATCTTTCACTTAGCATGATGTTTCTGAGGTTCATCCATGTTGTAGAAGTCTGAGAACTTCATTGTTTTTGAAGGCTGAGTAATACTCCATTGTATGGATATATCACATTTTATCTGTTCATCAGTTGATGAGCATTTAGATTGTTTCCATCTTTAGGATGCTAAGAATAATGTTGTTGTAATATTTTTGTACATATGTTTGTGCAGACATAAGTTTGCATTTCTCCTGGCTATATACCTAGGGGTAAAATTACTGGGTAAAATGGTAACTCTTCAATCATTTGAGGAACTGTTGCACTTTCCAAAGTGGTTGTATCATTTGACATTCTCACAAGGCTTGTTTATTTTCTTTTCTCTCTCTCTCTCCCTCTCTTATCTCTTTTTTCCCCTGGCGAGCCTCAAGAGTGTGAAATAATGTCCCATTGTGGTTTTGATTTGCATTTCTCTGAGGATAAATGATGCTGAGTAGAGCTGGGGTTGTGGCTCAGTGGTAGAGTGCCCGCCTAGTGCGGGTGAGGCACTGGGTTTGATCCTCAGCACCACATAAAAAAAAATGAATAATTTAAAAAAATGATGCCGAGTGTCTTTTCATATACTTATTAGTCATTTACATATCTTCATAGGACACATGTCTATTGACAGTTTTATTTTGCAGTGCTGGGAATTGAACCCAGGACCATGTATATGCTAGGCTGACTTTGAACTTGCAATCCTCCTGCCTTGGCAGAAGTTGCTGGGATAATAAGTGTGTACCATCCCACCTGGCTTTGTTCCCAGTTTTTAAGTTAGGTTAGTTTAAATTGTTGAGTTAAAAGAATCTCTTGTATACCAGACCCTTACACATAATAATTTGCAATTTTTTTCCATTCTGTTGGTTACTTTTTAGATTCCTTATAGTGTTCTTTGATGCATACATTTTTAAAATTTCAGTGAAGTATAGCTTATGTTTTTTTGTTTGCCTATGTCTAAAGCTTTATGCCTTAGTTTTTAATCTAATTCTTAAATTTAGGTCTATGATCCATTTTGATTAATTTTTTCATATAGTATGAATCGGTGGTCTGACTACTCTTTTGCATGTTGCTGTGCAGTTGTATCTGCACCATTTGTTGAAAACACTGTTCTTTCCCTGATTGAATGGTCTTGGCCTCCTTGTTGAAAAATTATCAATGTATGAGCTTCTTTCTGGATTCTCATTCTGTTCCATTGATCTGTGTGTCTATAATTAAGCCAGTACCATGATGAGATTTTTAAACTCCTAATGGATACCTAGTTTCATCAAATGCCTTTGCAGCATTTAATTGATCAGATCAAATGTTTGTTCTCATCTGTCATTTTAACATGGTGGGGAGCTAAGTATTTTCTAATACTGACCAGTCCTTGAGCTTGAGGGCTAGGTTATGTTCTCTATTTAGATATTCTGTTACCTAGTTAAGGTGGAAGCTAAGGAAAGTGAGCATTGCTTGAGAGGAATTGGATTGCTACTACTCCTTGGTACTTATTATGATAATCAGTAGTGTTCACACTTGGCCATTGATGGCAACCTATTACCCCAAACTTGGGGGCTTTTCTGGTCTTTCTTGTGTCAGAATTCTTTTATCTTCATTGTTGTCAGTGAGCCCAGTTCTGTCACAACATTTCTGGTTGTCAGTCCTCACCTACAGAAGAGCTTCTCAGTGCTGTTATGTAGTGCTCCTCTCACCAGCATTTCCCTGTTGCTCCCATAAAGGGTACAATCTGGAGGGTTTTCCTGTCTATTTAATAGGAAAATAGGATATCCACTGTAGCAGACTCATATCTTTGAGTCTAATACTTCTTCCACTGTCTACTATGGCCATCTGGCATCCTGCTTTATTCAATGTGAGCTATTGTGTATTAGTTTTCTATTTCTGCTTAAGAAATTACTACAAACTAGCCAGGTGTGGTGGTGCATGGCTGTAATCCCAGTGACTCAGGAGGTTGAGGTAGGAGGATCACAAGTTCAAAGCCAGCCTCAGCAACTTAGCCAGGCCCTAAACAACTTAGTGGGTCCTGTCTCAAAGCAAGAAATAAAAAGGGCTAGGGATGTGGCTCAGTGGTTAAGTACCCTTAGGTTCAATCCTGATACCAAAATAATAATAATAATAGTAATAATAATAATTATTATTATGATTACCACAAACTTAGTGGCTAAAAGCAATTATTAATTAGCTCATGATCCTGGAGGCCAGATGACTGTCATGTCATAACTGAGTTCTCTGGTCAGAATATCAGCCAGGCTGAAGTCTCTGGAGAACAGTCCATTCAAAGTCCATTCTGGTTATGGGACTAAGGTTCTCACTTCCCTGCTGGCTGTCAGCCCAAGACTGCTCTCAGCTCCAAGGCTGCCTTCACTCCCTGCCACGAAGCTCCCTCCATCTTCATGTCAGCACAGGTGTTTCCTATCAATCTTGGGTTTTGAATCTTTGAGATATTCCATCTGACTTCTAGATTGGCTTTCAGTGGCTCATATGATTACATCAGGTCCTCCCCAGATAATATTCATATCTTGGAGACCTTAAGTACATCTGCAAAATCCATTTTGTCATATGTATTAATTTCCTAGGTTTTGAAACCCATTATCCCACACTTGGGGGCTTATAACAACAGAAATTTATTCTTGCACAGTTCTGAAGACCAGAAGTCCTACATAAAGGTGTCGGTAGGGTTAGTTCCTTGTGGGGCCTCTGATGGAGGATGTTCCATTCACACTCCTAGCTTCCAGGGTTGCTGGCACTCCTTTGCATTCCTTACCTTGTAGCTGCCTCACTCCACTGTCTGCCTCCATCTCCACGTGTCCTTCATCCCCTGTGTGTTTCTGTGAACTCTCCTTATAGGAATTCTAGTATCAGATTCAGGATTTATCCAACTCCAGTGTGATCTCCACTAATTTTATCTACAAAGACCTATTCCTAAATAAGGTCACATTCTGAGACTTTGAGTGCACATGAATTTTTTGGGGGACACTATTCAACCCACAACAGCTTACTCTCTGGCCTCCCAACATTGATATTTGTTTCATGCAAAACATACTCACCCCACCTCAACATCTCCAAAACCCATCTCAACTTCTCCAAAACCCACCTCAACTTCTCCAAAAGTCTATATCCATTCCAGGATCAACTATAAATCCAAATTTTCATCTAAATATCATCAACTCAAAAAAATCCAAAATGCCACCATCTAAATCAGGGCTGAGTAAGATTCTGGGTATGATCTAATTTTATTATTCAAAGAAATGGGCTGTAAGCTAGAATTTGGAAACTATTTTGTAGGAGCAGTTTCTGGAAGATAAAGTTGATCAATCTTAATTATGGACTATTATTAAGAAAGACAGCATATATGTAGATAAATAATATGTCTTATTAAGAAAATATTTATTGAATACCTAGTATGCACCAGGCATTCTTCTAGGTACTAGTAATGTTATCAGTGAACTAAAATTAACAAAAATCTAAAACCTTCATATTTACATTTTGGAGCTAAGTAGGTTGACATGAAATAATTATTTTCATTGAGTATTCTTAACCTATATATGAGTGAATAAACTTTTAAAAATAATTTCTACTTGTGTAGAGAACAAGCATATAGAGGTTGAGTGTCCTTATCCAAAATGCTTAGGACCAGAAGTACTTCAGATTTTGAATCTTTTGGGATTTTCGGATATTTGCATATACAAAGTGAGATATGTTGGTGATGGGCCCAAGTCTAAACACAAAATTCATTTGTTTCATGGGCACCTTATACACGTGGCCTGAAGGTAATTTTATGCAGTATTTTTAGTGTGCTTGTTCACATTAGCTCAGGTATAGAATTTTTTTTTTTTTTTTAAACTGTGGCATCATGTTGCACTAAAGAAACTTCAGATTTTGAAGCATACTGGATTTTAGATTTCCAGATCAGGGATGCTCAACCTGTATGAATAGTCTCAGAAACTGCTGGCTAGTTACGAGGTTGGTGAGAGGAACAGCTGGCTCTCTCACTTTCAGAACCTGTAGTTCTTTGATTTCAAATGAGTTCCACTGCCATTTGCCCTCATTTGTTTAATTAATTAATTTTTTTTAAGAGAGAGAGAGAGAATATTTTAATATTTATTTTTTAGTTCTCGGCGGACACAACATCTTTGTTTGTATGTGGTGCTGAGGATGGAACCCGGGCTGCAAGGATGCCAGGAGAGCGCGCTACCGCTTGAGCCACATCCCCAGCCCTCATTTGTTTATTTAGCACCGACCGTTGTCAGACTCTTTAGCATGTCATCTGAGGTCATGTATGTCTGCCCCTTGCTAAGCAACCTCTCTCTCATTACTCACCTTATGCCACAGACCCATGGAAATACTTGGTGTGCCCGCGCGTGCATTCTCACAGCGCATGTGCTTTTCTTCCTGCTCTTCTGTCTAGAATCACCTTCTTTACGTTACCGGGAACCTACTTTTTTCTTCGAGACACAGCTTCAGTATCACTTCCTCTGCCAAGTCTTCACATGTGCCCTCTGCCTGGGCCAGGAAGAACTGGCCTTACTCTCTTCTGTATCTTGTCTTTGTAGGTCCAGCATCCACAGATGGTCTCTTTCAGATTACTGTAAATGGATTCGTTTCCTCAACTAATCTGTAAACTCTTTGAATTAAGGTTTTATTCATGTACTTTTTAACCTAATAGGCAAATAATAAATATAAAACTGGCTTTAAGTGTCAGGATAGACAAAATTATTGATAAAAAAGTTTCCTGATATTTGAATTCATGTGGATTAAGTGTTAAAATGCTTTGACACAGTAAATACATTTTAATCCTAAAAGCATGGAATTAGAAGAATCACCTTTTCATGAACTTACTATTAAGTGAGAAATTAAATATAAAAACCAAAATTTTATTTTAAATTAGTTTTTATGACATAAAGTTTCTTGTTATTACTTTCTTGAACACTCTATAACTCATCCATTAATACCCACAAAGTTATTGGAAGAATAATGTAGTTAAAATGATAGACTACATTATTATAATAATAATAATAATTATTATTATAATTGTGCAAAAGTAACTGAAAGAAGGAAGTCTTATATTTCATATTTTGACAATGTAGAAATATAGGAAGTTTGGAGTTCTCTTTTTGTGACTCCTATACATATTTACCTGTTTTGATAACATATTAGTTGAGTGGTGAAAGAAGTTTTGAGTTAAAAGTTTGTCATTGGCATAGTTGTTTAAGGATGCAGAACTTGGGAAGTATAATGAGTTCTGAGCTAATATGAAATACTAGAGCTTTTTCCTTATGCGTTATTTTGGGAAAAGCTGCTTCAGCACTTTTTCTTATTTGGAAGTTTTACTTATGTCACTGGTAAAACATAATGGAAGAAATTTATTTGCAAAATACTTTTTCCCTCTCTTTGAAAGAAGCCATTCCAGCTGTTTCATGCTTGTTCATTTCCGTTGCAGGCTCAGTCCTCCTGTTCTTCCTTTATGCTCCTTAAAAGAAATACACTTGGCTAAGGATAAGTTTTTCAGAATGGAACAATCTGAAACTACCAATGGTTGTTTTCTTTCTATTTTAACAAGAGAGGTAAGGAGACAAAAACAATCACAGTCCATGTCATACTTTGGAATTAGGAATGGCAGAGCCTCACAAGAGGAACATAGGAACCTGTGAACATTTTGAAATGCTGTGCTTATATTTCATAAATAACTAAAGGGCAAGAAAAAACTTTGTGGCAAGTAATCCCGATACCTTATGTTCTGTGTTTCTTTTTGCCTGCCCTCTTTGCCCACCTCTGTAAGCAGTTTGTTAACACATAGGGCATCTTCTCTGACATAAGAAATTAGCTGTGTAATTCTATCAGGTTTATAAATGGGAGAACTGAAGTTAAAAAGAAGTCATTTGCTGAGGTTTATGGCATGTATTAGGCCTAAAATCCATTTATTTTAATATTATATTCTATTTATTTTCACTGAAAACACTGACATATATTTGCCATATGCACAATAGTTACCTTCCACAGTAATAAATGCTTCTTTAATTGTAGCGGGACCCATCTGAGACAGTGTCTGTGAAAGATGTTTTGGCCCGAGCTGCAGCAAAAGGGCTACTGGACGGGATTGAGTTGGGGAAATCATCAAAACGAGAGAAGAGGAGGAAAAAATCAAAAACATCATTGGCCAAACCATCTGCCAATGATAATAATGGCATCCAAATGAAAATTGCCGAGTTCCTGAATCGAGAAACCAAAACAAGTACTAACAGATCAGAGGCATTAATAACAAAAGCACTTAATCCACAGAAAAATGCATCTCAAGTAGGTGCCACCACACAGACCAGGAAACCTAGCAAGCCTACCATCAATCCTTTGACACCCACGTTAACAAAGAACACCTGTCACTGCAAGCCAGGTGAACGGCACACCAACTTCACACGACCTCGACCAGAAGACAAAATGATTGCTTTGAAACCCATTGAGATCATTTTGCCTCCAGTAATGTTGCCATTTCAGAGTCCTCAAGGGATCAGATCTCAGGTCCCAAATCAGCATTTTTACTATCGCTGGGTTAGGCCCAAGACTGGTGTGCCTGGCTACCTTCCCACACCATCAGCGTCCAGAAGAGGGGAGAAACCTAAAGAAAACTTACCTTCCTCCCTAGTTAGGCGTCCTCGACCATGGCTTTGACTGCCCCATGTTTTTGACAGGGCCAGAAACAGGCGTTTTTGTTTTTTTTTTTTTCTTCCCAAAGTCTGGTATTTCTCAGAAGGTGAGATATAGCTATACAAGATACTCATCCTTTTGTCACTTAGTATCTTCTAATTGTGATATTACCTTCAGAGAATCAAAACAGGAGAGAGACAATAATGTAGAGAGGGTACGCAAGCAGAATTCAGATTGCAGCAGCTCAGTGCTGATCTGTTGGAGAACACCCCGCTGTCGACTCTCAATCACTGTCAGAACTCGGCTCGCTCCTGTTGACTTCCAGTCTGGACTAAAGCTCAGCAATTTCTCCTGAAGGGAAACATGGTCTCTCTGGAGCAGGCTGCTCTTCACTCACTTTTGAGGGCGTTCAGTTGAAAGCGGGGCCCTCCCACCAGCTCTGGAACACCCTGTCAGTGTCTAAGCAGTCCTAGCTGAACTTTTCCAATCACAATCAAGATTGATTTTTTTTTTTTCCTTAAGTACTCGTCTGTTCCTGAAAAAGGGCATGACATGAGTTTTGGTAACATGACTGAGCCTGAGTACTAGTAGGAAGCCCAGGAAGTTCCAGAATGCCATGTGTGCATTGCTTAGGTGTCGATTCAGAGGGTCTCTCATGGGAAGAGCATCCAGGACCCTGAGTGGATTGAGTGAGCACAATCACCCCTTCCTTCTGCCTGTTTATGCCAAACACGGTTGAAAAAAAGACTGTGAGCAAATTTCCATCAAAACATTCATAATTCTGAGGACAAAACTGTTAAATACAAGTGATATCTACTGTCAAAGAATACAAGTGATATCTATTATTGAAGAAACCTATAGAGACTTCTGATTCTATTCAAAGATCAGGTGATACAGCAAAATGTTCAAATTGTTTCAAATGGCACACAGTAATCAAACTTTGGTAAATCATTTCTGATGCACAATTAAAATATATTGTAGCACTGTTATATTAAATGTCAATTCATCTTAAATGTATTATCAATTGTCTGCCAATATTGGTATGATTATCATTTCTGGGTCTACTGATTATTTTTCATCATAGTAACAAAATGTTTAATGTTAAATAGGTTTCAACTATAAATCTTGTTTAAAGTTCATAGACACTTTGATGACATTTGAATTTAAAGTTTTATTTTCAGAATCAGTTGTGTTTAATTCTGGAATGCTCAATTCAGATGATACTTCAGTAGAATATTTAGGTCTGTTTCAGCTGTTATTCTTTTCTCACTTGAAGTGAGGAGAAAAGCAAAATGGTGAATTTCATCTTAGTAGTACTAATTGATTTTTCCTTTAGCTGAAGATTACATTTCATTAGAAACTGTAAGTGAAGAAAAGACTTTAAAAATTTTTTTTCGCAGTTGCAGATGGACAGATGCCTTTGTTTATTTTATGCAGTGCTAAGGATCAAACCCAGTGCCTCACATGTGCTCTGCCTGAGCTACAGCCCCAGCTCAAAGAAAAGACTTCTTATACTTGAGCCAGACTTATTAGGGGGTGTTTCATTATCTTACACCCACCCAAATCTAGCTTAGGGGACCCCATGCCTCTAGGAGGACAGGGCAGCCCAATTTTACATTGCTTAGTGAAGAGCTGATATTTTATCCCAGGGATTTAAAATAAATAAATTATATATATATTTAGTTGTAGTTGGACACAATACCTTTATTTATTTACGTGGTGCTGAGATGGAACCCAGTGCCTTACATGTGCTAGGTGAGCACTCTGTTGCTGAGCCACACCCCAGCCCCTCCCAGGGATCTTTTATCCTTTTCCTGCTTCACTCCAACTCTAGGCTGCAAATGATTCCATTGTCCAGAAGCACAGGGTCTGAAATTTTTATTTTCAAGTGTATTTTCTGGGTTAACTCTCACTGTTATGAAACAGCTCAGGATATTTTATAACCTCTGCATGTGATTCATGTCACAACTTTGAAGTCACTTATTTTCAGTAGTTCCTAACATGCCTCTTGGTACTAAATTATTTCTCTTTAGAAATTTATGGAGATTCTAAATTAAACCATTCATTAATTAAGCTTGCATTTTAGTCTGAGAATATTCTAAGCAGGACAGGATCGCTTATTTAAATACTTTGGTAAACAAAACAGGGAAAGAACTTAGGATAAAAGCTACATGAGAGAATTGTAGTGAAGAATATGGATCACACATTTTTTGTTTGGTATTTTACTTGCTTGAACGTAAAAGTCTTGCAAAACACTAAAATAATCAAATTATTGGTGTTTAGATATCTCAATAGCAAATGTTGATTTTTACCTGAAACTATTTACTATCATAAAAACCCTGAAACCAAAATGAAAGTTTGTTGAGTTACTGCCCTTGGGGGGCGATGAGGGGGAGAGAGAACACTCTGGGGGGCATGCAAGACCAACAGTAGTGCCTACTTTACCTTTTCCTTGTCCTCTTCTGTGTGTCTGAAAGTTGAACTAGACCAGATTCAGTCGGTTTTTCTAGCTACCTTTTGGATTTTAGCGCCAATACACCTCTCTTCTTCATTCTCTGAGGTTAAGTTCTTCAAGAAAATGAGACAGACTTTGTGCTGAAATACTTTAACCCTAGAACGACTGCTTGCAGAAGACTCGATAGGCTTGTGTGTCCAGAATGGTAGCTGTCTGTCCACTAAACAAGGTCAGGGTAATGACTCAAATTTAGTTACCTTCTCATTCTCCCAGGTGGAAAGATGCAATCACCAGTCAAAGCAGAATCTTACATTACTAATATGATTTCTTAAAAGTTTAATTTGAGGTAATATAAAAATAACATGACTAGTTCAGACACACTAAATTCTAATTTTTGTATATATGACTGAGTTGTCAGATAAATGAGCCAAATATTTTATGCAGCTAAGTTTATTCTCAATACATATTACATTTAAATGTGTAAAAGTGGTCAACAGTAAAAGGGGTAAAAGGAAAAACAAGACATCCTTTCAGGATGAACAGCTGGCGCCGGCTGCCAGGGACTGCTCTTATTGATGGTGGCAGGGAGGATGTTTTCCCTGAAACCAAAATAACTTAAACTGCGATTTACTGGCTGTAAACCCCATGTTAGATGTGTATTAGGGTAAGCCTGGCCAACCAACAGCGCCAGTAGTTTTATTAAATTGTGCTAAAATCAGGTAGGGAAACATTTTCCACGTTGTTCATGAAGTCTTGTGTGAAATGAGTGCGCCATTCAAGAAAAGGAAGCATGGCGGCCCCTAGCACATGTGTCCATCTTCCAAGTGTCCATCTTAAACTCACAATATGAATTTTTTTTAAAAAAAGTAGCAGTGCCAACAGTTTATCACCAAGAACTTGTTTTAATGGAAATGAGTCTAATGTTCCTTCATGCAGTAAGACAGACAAAAAACAATGGTCCTAATTAGCTATTGGTGACCTTATAGCCAGGTGGAAACAAAAGGTGTGTGGACATATGTATATATCTTTAGATGAAATCACACATGTTGTGAAGGTTATAAAAATGAAGCACCATAGGGTGCTTTAGTTTACAAAGTCAAGTTCTTAGTCATAGGCCTGTTGGCTCTTCCCCTTGATGCTGCCAAGGAGCACGCAGAGGAGATGGCAAGACTGCATCTAGCTAGCTGCTTTTAAAAAATAAAAGGAACTTTAAGCATTTTGCCTTCTACATATTCCAATAGAAATGTGACTACAAATCATTACAAAACCAACTTTTAGGCAATGTGTAGTTCACTGAGATTACTTAGACCTGAATACATTGTGACATAATATCCAGTAAAGATAATATATTAACACAACAATGCAGTATATTTCAGTAAAAATAGAATAAATAAAATAAAAATATTTTAAGCTGTATTTAACAGATTAATTAAAAAAAGATACGACATACAAGGCAAAAGTGAACATGGCGGCCTGTTTACCGAATCACAGATATAAAGAATGCATAGATAACTGAAGTCTCACTAAGATATCAGGTAAAACACTGGCATCCTTTCACAGACAAACACACACATACTTTCATATATACTTTTTGGCCATGGCAGAAAGTGTCTGAACATACCGTGTAACATAATTAATTTTACAAAATTAATCTGCATTTAATATGCAAAGCTACTCTCAAAACAAAATATCTGTAGTAAAGTTTGTAAGGCTATCATTCACCTTATTATAGCCTATAATTGCATATATAAATCAGTTTGCTACTTAAAGCTAGCTCAATATTCTTGATCCTGAAAATAAACGAACATATGCCTTAAAAAATGAACAGGGGCTTCTGGTAGAGATTTCCTGTAGAAAAATGGATTACTTGGTTAGTGTTTTGAGGTTTATGACACTAAAATGTTTCACTGTGGAGATGGAGATGTAAGATCATCGTAACTGAATTTGAAAAAGCTTTTCACAGGGCACAGTAAGGTTTACTTAATGCAATGATTTCTCATGATGGCTCCGGTTACTTTGGATAGAACAGTATGCAAGTTGGCGAGAAGCTTAATGCATTTCTAAAGTAGCATAGTTTCTGTCATAACATTAGGGTGCCAGCAAACAATTCCAGTCCCTGTGCACCCCCCTCCATGAATTCTGTGAGGAAACAGCAGGCAGAAGGCCTTCTGTTCATTCCATCATGTTTCCTGGTGGCTAAGGGTCTGAGTGAGGAGTAGCTCTACCACAGTAACATCTCTGGAAAATCTCATCAATTTGAAGAGGCTGCACTGAGTGGAGACACCTGTCCTCTACAGCACATTGAGGCACACGGCAGCAAACAGTCCTGGACTGACAGAGGACAATGATTTTATGATTAATTTAATGCCACTAAATAATTCGGACACACATTTCTTTACTTACGGAGAGAATTCTGAGATTGCCTGACAGTGTCCCTATCTGCTCTTTGTTTGTGCCACAGTCATCTGGAAAGGGTCCTCTTGACTGACTGTGCAGAGGGGCACAGCACAGCAAGAGCTGGGAGCTGGGAGGCATGGGTCCTGGATCTGGCTCTCATGCACTTTGGCGAGGTCTTAGGCCAGTTGGTTCAGCCTTTTGGTACTTTGTGTTCTTACTTCTCCAATGTGTTCAGTACCTTTTCTATTTTATAAGGCTCAAATGTGATAAGAATGTGGAAACCATTCTGACAAGAACAAAGCAGTGTAGTGTATAAACAAAGCATTACTTTTGAAACTGGATGTTGTCAAAATGTTAATTTTGACACTAGAAGGTAAACAAGACTAATATTGAGATTCATCTTAGCAAAATAAACAATGTCAACAAGAGTTTAAATTGGTATATCTTTATAGCTAAGTTTCTAATCTACATTAAAAAAGCAAGAAAATGCTGTTTTGGGGAAACTGTTAAATAGTCCCATTATTCCTATGTATATTTTGCTCTGATATGAAATTTTTTAAATCTTAAAAGTAAAATGGAAAAAATATAAATTTTAAAATATATCTAGTTGAGTTCAATAAATTCTAATATTAAATACATAAATTCAAGAAAAGGTCCAACTTATGTAGTTTGTTGCCATGGACAATATATGATGGACAGACAGCTTTCTGGACAAAAAGCACTAGAATAAGACTGAGCTAGCTGCGGAATTCTAGCACAACATTTACCTCTAAGATGTGAACTAACAAAACTAAAGTGGTGGAGGAGACCTCAAATCATAGTGTATGACAGATATAAATGGCATTTCCTCAACTCCAAGTTGCATATTGGCTGATCATCAAACTAAGGATGAGAGGTTCATGAGGAGTATTTCATCTTATCATTGTGTAGAGAATGGCCATAGTGAACTATAATTCTCTAGCTGCATTGTACAATGTAAGGCAGAAGTTTGAAATATGTCCCACCCAAAATGCATTATGATTTTGTTAATCTCTTTTTGAAAATAATCAGTTTGAAAACCATCTGAAAAGAAAGGCTATTTTTTTTGTTCGATTTTAATTCCTCAAATTTAGTTTTTCATCCATTTTAAAGTTCCACTCTTTTCCAACATCCCACCATCAGCTGGAGACATGACATGGCGTCCATGTGTCACACAGCTCGTCAAGGAAAGCTGCCAGTTGGTTTCTATACGGATGCCAACTGCCAGTTTTGTTAACCAACAGGTCCAATTTTATGAAAAACTAAAACCCCAACTCGTCATCCTATCTTTACAGCAATTCAATGGTATCTGCTATGCAGTGTCTCCATGTTTCCAATGTTGAAAACAGGGCAAAGTGCTGCAGGAACTTGAAGGTTGCTTGTGACAGATCCAGTTGAGAGGACAGTGAGAGAATGCAGGCATCATTCACTCCAAGGACATAGCATTGTTCACTAGGAGGGGCGGGGGTCACATTCTTCTCTGCATGTGCGAAGTCATAATGTTCACAATATTTACAGTAAGAAAAAGACCTTCCACTGCTCAGGATGTAACTTACTGACAGGAAAAAAAAAAAAAAAGATTCATGCTTCTTTTCATAGCACAAGATGGTGGCAAGACGAGAGAACATGCCTGTCTAACACTGCTCGGGTACAGATGAATTCTCTGAAGACAAAGCATCAGCAACGGAATGGAAGGCCGAGATCAGTTCTTTTTTTTTTTTTTTTTAAGCTACTCCATCTTCAGGTAAAGATGACAGTCCTTTAACATATGCAACTAGGGTGTTTCTGTGACAGGACGTTTCTGTTTCAAAGTGTCAATGAGGGATAAGACCCCTCGTTTTACATTGGTTGTGACTCTTCTGGTCATTGAGTCTGCAGGCGGAGGAGGTGGTCGAACTTTCTGTGAAGGTGGCCGGGCTACCAAGCACTTCTGATATCGTAACTGAATAAAACAAAAAAAAAAAAATTTAAGGGAACTAATAATGTATTGTTTCTTCTTGTTTAATATGATTTTCATTTAACACCAATATGTTGACTCCTGAAAGGCAAAGAGGTGGTCCTAAACATAAGTTCAAGAGTTTGTTTTATTCTTAATATGGACGTTTCAAATTCTCCTAAAAGATTCAACGAAGGTATTTTGCCATCCTCTCCTTCCATCTGTTTCCACCTTCTACTTACTCTCCCTGTTAGTAGCTTGCAATTAATATTCTGCAAGCCAATGAAAACAAAAAGGTTTGGGTCAGAGTGTCAACAACAGCTCCCATCAGAGAGCATGGGAGAGAGGGCACCATCAGATGTGAGTGCCCCAGTAGTTACTAATTCTCTCTCAGCTTGTTTCTTCAACTGTAAAATGGCTGAAGAGTGGGAACCTTTACAGAGGGGACAATGATTGAATAAGACATATTTATAGGATCTCTAAAATAATAATAAATGTTTGTTCCTGTTCCAATTTCCTACCCTAATAATAATAGAAAAGAATGATGTAATAAGATTTCAGATGGCCAGGAGTGGTGGCATATGCCAGTAATCCCAGCGACTCAGGAGGCTGAGGCAGGAGGATCACAAGTTCAAAGCCAGCCTCAATAACTTAGTGACGCCTTATCTCAAAATGAAAAATAAATGGGTTGGGGATGTGGCTCAGTGGTTATCCACCTTCCAGACCCCCCTCTAGGTCAAAGGTATATTTTAAGATAAAGGTCAGTCTGCTCTGGTTTCAATCCCTAGTTTAAAAAAAAAAAAAAAAGATTGCAGATTTCAGGATACATTTTATATTCAAGTTTAACTCCCAATGGATTAGGCTTTTTTTAATCCATTAGCATTGGCACCATGAATAATTTCTATTTTTCAAAAATGGAACAACAAAGCCCCTTGCTTTTGCAGTAATGGAAGAAATAATTCATTTTTCAAAATTAGATGAAAAGGTTAAATTTATCAAATGTTTCTTGAAATCCAAGTACTTTAAAATAATTCCAAAGCTGATTTTGAAAATCAACTTAAATATTAGCAGGATCCTTGGTAGAGTTGGGGAATACACTGATGTGTCTCTCTAAGATGCATAAAATATCTTCAGCAGGACTCAGGAAGGAGAAGTCATAATGTCCTATCACACCATAAGCCACAGAACTGGTCCCTTTCAACTCAAGCTGATGAACGAGGATGGTTTACTATATATTTATTCTGTGTAACGCACCTTGCTACACATGAATCACAATTCAAACCACATCTAGAGCATGAGTTTATAGGTAGGCAGGATACACCAACGTTGGACCCTGGATTTGGAATTTCCAACAGTAGTTTTGTATATACAATGTGAACAAAAACTGCACCTGATGAATTTCATAAAGATCCCTCTCTCCTATTCCAAATTTCACTTCAATAGCTTCAGTTGAGCCTGCATGACATAGCTATAAAATGTGCCTAAAAATTAAGAAAGAAGAATGTGTTGAAATTGTATTTTGGGTAGAATAAATGTATACATAGATATTTCAAATGGAGGATCATGTACGTTTGAACCAAGAAAACGACTGCATCAGTAAAGCTGGACTTGGAGAGGGGCGCAGGAGCTCTGGGTTCACCCCTGTGCCTTGCACTGACTGGCTGAGCTACTCCAACTGGCCGCACTCATACACTCAGAACAGGAAGCACAGAGTAAAGTTGTTTCCAACAGCAAAGATGAGTTTGGGAATTAGAGAACAAACTGTAGCCAGTGATGAAGCTAATCATTTAACTGTTGTTAGCATTTAGAATGTATAATTAAGGCTGAAAGCCATTCAGTTTATGACCAAAACCATCTGTTAGGATCCATTTCAATTTCATAAAATATCGAACAGTCATCTACTTTTGCTTGATTGAAATCTATTTGCTGTATGTAACCCCTTGACCCCATCCTAATTCCCGATGCCTGGATCACACTTTCTTTGACCTTGACTCCTCAGCCCCCCTTGCTTCCCCCGATCACAGCCTTGCTCCTTCATACCCAGGTGTGTGAGTTAACATCCTGGCCCCACAGAGAAAATATCCTCCAACAAGGGCCTGTGGTAAGGAGGGGACAGATCCTGAGTGTAAGCACCAGGCCTCTCCTCCCTTCCACGGGTCCCCCTCCAGGTCAAAGGTATGTTTTAAGATCAAGGTCAGTCTGCTCTCTTTCTAGTCGCCACCTTTGCACTTGCCCTCCTGCCTGACCCTTTTCCTGGTTCTTAATTAGCATGAAGCAGCCTATAGCAGGTCAGAAAGCAACAAGCAAACTTTTTTTCTTTCCTCAACTCCACCTATGTCTCAAAGTAAAAGGTCTCTAACCAACTGGGAGGCTAAGTGCCTCCTCTAGGTCTTCATCTACCACCACTTTAAATGTGAGACCAAGCCCTAACAACAATCATGTGTTACCTAATGACAGGGGACACATTGTGAGAAATTCGCTGTTGGGCATTTCATCCTTGTGCAGACATCACAGTGCACCGACACAAACCCAGATGGCATGGCCCACTCACACCCAGGCTGAATGGCACAGCCTGCTGCTCCTAGGCTACAAACCTGTACGGCATGTTACTGTACTGAGAGTACTGAAGGCCACTGTCACACAATGGTATTTGTATATATAATACGGGGTACAGTAAAAATGTGGTATAAAAGATAGAAAATGGAACCTGCAGGACTAGGCATTGCTCAGGGTGTCACCGGGTGAGTAGCAAGTGAATGTGAAGGCCGCCGACATTACTATGCAACTGTAGACTTGACCAACACTCTATACTTAGGCTACACTAAACTTATTAAGCATATTTTCTTCAATCATAAATTAATCTTAGTTTGCTTTAGTTCTTCTTATTTATTTTTAAAAAACTTTTTGAACCTTCTGTAATAACACTTAGCTTAAAACACAAACACACTGGAGATGATAGGAATTTTTCAGTTCCCTTATGACCTTAGGGGACCACACAGTGTATGTGCATGACCCCACTTCAGTCCAGCTTCACTGGCTCACAGCCCTTAGCCTGTGAGAAGTGTGCAGGTTGCCCCATCCTAAAATCAACCAACCAGCCAGCAAACCCGTCAAGTGCCATCTGCTTCCAGGGCCTCCCCTTCCTGCTCCCCCCAGTTCATTCTCAAACCAGTGTGGCCTCATATCTTATTTACAGCTCTTTCCACACTATAAGATGATTTTGGTCTGTGCATCTCCTGCACCACATCTGAGCTCCATGATGCAGGGTCACACAGTCAGGCCAGCCCAGGAACACTTAAATGCAGTACAGGGGCCTCCAGCCCAGCCTCCCTCACCTGGGCCAGCAGTGTCCACCATGTCTCTCAGGTCACTGGCCCCTGTGCCCTCCCATTGCTGCTCTCTGGCTCAGACCCTGCTCACCTCTTGTGTGGACTGGCGGACGGCCTCCGAGCTGATCACTCCTCTCAGCCTCTCCCTTGAACCCAGCCACAGGCAACCTTGTGCCACGGACCTGCCTCCTCCTCTGGGTCCCAGCACCCAAACTGCCACTGCTGTACTGCAGCAGGCTTCAGGGCCTGCGTTATGCATCTCCATCACTTTTACTACAACCTTTTGAGAGTCTTCCACAATAGATGCTCCAAGGATATTTGTTCAATGAGCAATGAGGATTTTTGTTTGTTTCAAACTATAATATGTGGTGACAAGCGCCCTGGCTATGTTACCTGGCAGTGCAGGGCTGACCCTAGGCTGGGCCTAGAGCCTCATTCTAGCTTCTCTGAGCCAACAACTACCTGACAGGGTTGTTGCAGATACATAAGAACAATGCACTTAAACCAACTATTTTAAATTAAAAGTAAAACGTGTCAAGTTGAATGCAGAAAGTAACAACTCCCCTGGGTGGTGATGCAACCTGTAATCCCAGCAGCTCTGGAGGCTGAGGCAGGAGGATCAAGAGTTCAAAGCCAGCCTCAGCAACTTAACAAGGAGCTAAGTAACTCAGACCCTATCTCTAAATAAAAAATACAAAAAAAGAGCTGGGGATGTGGCTCATTGGTTAAGTGCTCCTGAGTTTAATCCCTGGTACCAAAACAACAACAACAAAACAACAACTCATTTGTGACTAGAGTTTCCTGATCACACACTGAAATTAATTGGGGACATTTAGCCTCAAATGTCCTTAAGATCATCCTTCTCAGCTTTACTGGATCCTCTTGAGATGCAACCTGCTTGTCTTAATTGATCCTGCCCACAGGAACGAGAGTGACACAAAGCAAGGCAGGGCTTTGACAATTTGATTTCTTTTCTTTTATGTGGGTGATTCTGCTCAAATTTATTGCATAGAAAACAAAAGCAGAGGCAGGACTGAACGACCCTCTGGGCCAGGGTCACTCACCATACAGGCGGCCTGGACCGCCTCCGACACGTTCCCAGCATTGGGCTCACACCAGAACACGTGGCACTCAAAGCGCTGGTTCCCAGTGTCCATGATGAAGGCAAACGTGTGGACATCCTTCCCGACACCCATGAAGGACAGGAACCGCACCCGGCACTCCACCAAGGTCTCCTCTTCATTCTGCGAGAGACGCTGGTTAGCATACAACCCTCTCTGGCAAACCAGGCAGCAGTCACCCAGATTTTTATATCTTAAGCAGATCAGAGAAGCCAGCACACTGAATTCAGAAAGGACTTGGGTCTTTCTAGAAAGCCAAAACTTTGCTGAAGGGTCTGGACAGGACTTCAGTGCTGTGGGCATCTCTTTCTGGCAGTTCCGCATGCTCTGAACTACACTGATGTGGAAATGTCCATTCGCTACCCACTAGACCCCCGGTCTGTGAGTTCACCTGGGGAGGAACAAAGTCACATGCACTTCTTGTGCACTGTCCAACAGGGACACCAGGGGCTTACTGCCTGCTCCCCCAAGTGAACCCAGGGCACCAGGACAAAAGGATTTGCTGCAGCCCTCTCCATGTGGTCCCTCTCCCCTAGCAAAACAGCGCACTGCACCACACTGCTACCTAAAACCAGGGAAGACAAAAAGTTGTCAAGTCAACTGATTTGTCATATCATTTTCCCCCTTTCTACAAACTGGTCTCCATATGAAACGGCATAAAGAGAGGCCTGGAATCCGTTCTTGTCGTCATAAGGGCCAATCCTTTGCCACGAGCACATGCAGTTTTTGAGTTGGTGAACACATCTGGAATGGATGGCACCTCTCGGATCACCACATCTTGGCTCATTACGCTGACCTCCTTGAAGACAGCCCCAGATGTAACCGCCTGGTGGAAGGAGCCACCAGGAGCAGCCCCATCCCAGGAGGTGACTGTTGGGTTGGACTCAAAGGGTGAGACGCCAGCCCTGGGGGGAGCACGTGGGAAGGTCTGAGGGAAGGACCAGGAGCAAGGAGGCCAGGGGTCTGTGCGGGGTAGAAGAGGCAGGTGGGGACGAGATCGTACAGGGCTGGGAGGTGACCTGCTGGTGGACAGAGGAGCAGGGTGGTGACCTGAGGGCTTCTCCTGACATGTGTTTCATAAGCAGAATCAAAAATTAGCAAAGGGCCTGGAGCCAGACTGCCAGGTTCTGTACTTCCAACAGCGCGAGGACGGGCAAGTTTCTTTACCTCCCTGTACTTCAGTTTCCGCAATAAGAGTGGGGTAATTTGGGCTGAAGCTAATGCTGGCCTCTGTGAAGATGATCAATGACCCCTTTTCCTGCTGCCATGACAGACCACCAGGCCTTCCCTCACAGAGGCATCCTCTGTGTCCCACCTCAGACAGCGTGGTCCAGTCAACCCTGGAGTCCAGAGAGGGCCTCGCCAGAAAACCCGGTGAGCTATAGCTAGTGTCACTCAATCACCTCGAGCAAATGATTCCCATCTCCTGGGCAAATGAGGAAAACAGAACCAGGAGCACCAGGACAAAGGTTTCCAGGTCCAGAGGAAAGTGGAGAAAGGCACGGATTTAGACCAAGACAAAGGCCAAAACCTTTCACAAATGCAGGCCATTTTAATCCCGAGCAGGCACAGCTCCCGAGAGGTCAAGCCTCGGCTCTCTTTCTGGGTTTCGTGGAGACTGCTCCATCCAAAGCCTCCTGTGGCCCATGGAGGCCAAGGGTCCGTTAGGACTCCTCACCTTTTCACTGATGACCGTCACGGTGGCATCGGCCACATTCATGTTCACTGATGGCCAATCCTCCTTGTTAGATGAGGTCATCAGACTCTCTATGGCACTGTTCAGGGTGTCCATTCCTGTGGATGGAAAAGGTAATGGAAAAATCCTTCAAGTTATTTATCACTTTCCAGCGTGGGCCCAATGGCCCAGTAAGAGCTGTACCGCGATCGATCATTTCTTTGTGGTTCAGGACACTTCATCACTTTATCCTCACGACTGTTCAAAATAAAACGCCAGCTTTTCCAACAGGAAGAAGGGTCATGAGCCCCTCCAGAAATCTAGCATGGGGTGTCCTGTCTAAAGAGACCACGGCATGCCCATCTCTCTCTCCAGTTTCTCCAGCTCAGGGTGGAAACAATACTCAGTAATCCTGTCTCTGTCCAAGCAGGGCCTTGGGAGGGGACCTGGAAGAAGCCAGCACTGGCCAGAATCCCTGAGCTTCTTTCATGTCACTTGACATTTAACCAAGGTCAAGACTCACGCTCTCTAGACCATGCTCCCTAGACCACGCGTGGTAGTGCAGGTTAGTGGGGGGGTCCTTTGCTGGGTGTTCCCACAGGTCGTTGGAGGCCTGGGAGCAGGAGTAAGAACATTACTGTGCTCTCACACAGAATGCACTCACTGAAAGTGTGTAACCCAATGGTTTTCACTATATTACAGAGTACAACCGTTATCACAATCCATTGTGGAACAATTTTGTCATCCCTGAAAGGAGCCACTTACTAGCTCTCTGTCTCTAGAGATTTCCCTATTCTGCACACTTTGTATAAATGGAATCACGCGGTAGGTGGTGTTCTGTGACTGGCTTCTTCCACTTAGCTAACGATTTCAAGGTTCACTCACGTCCATGTTTCAGCACTTGCTTCCTCTTTATTGCCAAATAACATTTCATTATATGGAAGGATCCTGTCCATGTCAGCTGATGGGCATTTGGATTGTTTCTATTTTTATATGATTGTTTTCATATGATGGTGAATAGTGTGGCTGTAAATTTTGGTGTGCAAATTTTTCTGTAGACACAGGTTTCCAATTCTCTTGGGTGTTTGTGCAGGAGCAGAGCCTCTGGGTCAAAGGTAACTGTTTAAGCTTTTGAAGAACTGCCCAGCTGTTTTCCCCAGGAGCCACATCATGTCTCACGGGCCCCAGCAGTGCAGGAGGCTCCGATTTCTCTGCATCAGCCAGGCAAAGGCTGCGTCTCCCAGCCTGTCTTCAGCTTGGAAGGGCAACTTAGTCCTGCCGCTGGGATGTGAGCCGAATGCTGTGGTTGCCATTTCTGGGGTCACAGTGGAAAAGGAGAACATGAGGACTCCCTCAGTCCTTTCGCCCTGTCCCTGGAGACATAAGCCTTACTGCAGGAAAGCACAGCACCTCCACCGCCCTGCGCTGCACATCTCTATAGACTGCAGGGTAAATAAGAAATGCCTGTCTGCTTTGCTCAAATATTCTGAGATTGTAGTCAGACCAGCTTAGCCTGTCTTCATGTGGCTCATACTGGTTTTTTTTTTTGGGGGGGGCGCGGGGGTGTGGGTTTGTGTACCCAGGATTGAACTCAGAGGCACTCAACCACTAAGATATAGTCCAGCCTATTATATTTTTTTATTTAGAGACAGCGTCTCAATGAGTTGCTTAGCGCCTCACCATTGATGAGGCTGGCTTTGAACTCTCGATCCTTCTGCCTCAGGCTCATCCTCATCCTCATCCTTATCCTCCTGAGCCGATGGGATTATAGGCATGTGCCACCGCGCCCAGCTCCACATGGCTCATTTGATCAGAACTGTTCATGGGCCATGGCTGGTGATGGAAAGAGGGCTTGACTCAAGACAAGGCAAGGGAGGAACTGTGCACCTCACCCTCGTGGGGGTGTGAATACCTCCCACAAGCTCCTGAACACCTTCAAAGGGAAAGGACAATAAAGGCCGTACATACCGACTGGTCTGTCGACAGGTAACATGCCCAAGTACTGCACGTGGAACTTCTGGACCAGTTCAGTCTTTGGCGTTGGGAAATCTACTGTAGGGAACAAAAGCAGCCCATCCTTCTCAGTGGTTGCCACACATAAGAAAAAATAGTCACCACCTGGGATCTGAAATCCCCAGAACACCACCTGTGCCTTTATGTCTTGTTCCTGAACAAAATCAAAATAGCACCAACCCTAGACACTGGGGAAATCGGGCGAAAGACTAAAAGCTCATTTAACTTGGAAGTAAAACCCCCTTTGGAAGTTGGATTCACTTCCAAGTTAAATGAGCTTTATTTAGTCTTTCGCCTGATTTCCCAGTCCTTTATCTCTGTCAGTCAAAATCCCGTTCAACTTTCATTTAAAGGTGGGAAAGAGTTTGAAGCCAGGAGCTGATGGGCCAAACTGTCTCTGTGATGTGTGCTAAGGAAAACATAACCAAGAGTCCCCCCCAAAGAACATACATTTTTAAAAATTAGTCCCTACCCCATACTTTACGTGAGTTATGAAAACAATACTCTTTAACTTTGCAATAGCAACACAGCCACCCCACCCTTTGTACTAATCCTACTGACACAAAATCAAGTCTGTGCCCCTGGAGGCCCAAGGTGCACACTCCACTCATGTTTTTTGAGTTGAATATGCTTTTTTTTAGGAAACTCAAGACCATGGAGAACCACCTGAGCCCTCTTGTTTCTTGCCGTGAGGGACATGCCAGGATGAGGGGGAGATGCCACTGGCCTACCTTGCAAAGGGACTTCGGGATTCACACTGGTCCTCTCCTGCGAGGAGCTGCAGGCCAGGGCTTTGGCATTCTTCCGTTCAGCCATAATCTAAAGATTAAGTGCAAACACAGCTCTGGTTGGTGGGCGCAGGCCCCACACCTTCAGCGAGTCCAGTGTAATGTGTCTGAGTAGATTTCACTTCCAAGTTAAAATAGCTTTGAATTTTCCACCTGACTTCCTGGCCCCTTCCCCCGGGCTATGTTTTTCATTTGAGAATTTTGCTCATTTTCTCTGGGGATAACAGGTAAACTGTTCCTCCCAGTAATGGTCTCCCGATTGTTTGGAATCTACTTCTTCCGTTCACCAGGCTTCCAGCTTTGCTGAAAGTCCCCCGATATCCATGGTCTGTCCTGGACCTGCTGGCCACAGTGGTTAGCGGAACATGGCATGGCAGGGCTTCCCCGGCTCTTCTAGGTGCACACTTTCAGATACTTTTTTTCAGGGTTCTGGAGACAGAATATATCGGTTCAAATCTCACCTCTGCCACTTACTGTGTGGCACTGGATAAGTCACCTGCCCTCCTATATCTCATCTCCTCGACTAAGCATGGGGATGACCACAGTATTTATGTCACAGAGCAGTTTCGAGGACTGAAGGAGCCAGTGTGTCAAATGCTCAGTGGCCTCAGAAATGTTGGCTGCTATCTCAGACTGTCTCTCTGTTGGGGGCAGGATGTCTGCTGTGCTCAAGTGTCATTGCTTTCCAAACCTTCCCTCACCAGCTTCACAGAGCCAGGGGCTTGGATACCAAATCTTCATTTTGGAGACAGGACCACTTGGAGCACCACCTGGCCTACAGATTTCAGGCAGCCCTCCCTCTGTGAGACTTCTGAGTCTGTGGATTCTAGCGACCAGGGGTTAAAAACCTTATGGTGGTGCCGAAGTGTGTATGTAGGTAAGCCTGCAACAGCTGCATCGGTACTGAACAACTGTTTACAAAGCCTTTATATGATATTTGGTATGATAGGGAATCTGGAAATACTTTGAAGTACATGGGAAAATGTACATAGAATACATGCTAACACTTCACCACCTTATATAAAGGACTTGGCATCTGAGGACTTTGGTATCTGCTGAGGTACTGTTTCTGCTCCCCTGTGGATTTTGAAGGACCGCCGTTCTTTACTGGGATGAGCTGAACAATCTGCCCACTTCTTCCCTGAGTCGATTTCCATGTCCCCTCTCCTGCCCTTCCACATCCCTTCATCTGCTCAAGGGGTGAGGAGAGAGAGGTGCACCGCTGTGCCCCGATCCACCTTACCTTGGAACAAATTTCGTGGAGACTTGTGGCAATGGCTTTTGCTGGTGTGTCACATCGAAATACATGACATTTCAAAATTCTGGTATCTTTATCTCTTGCTACGTAAGCAAAATCCCTATGCAAAAAAAAAAAAAAGTATCAGTACATTAAAAAAGGAACCTTTTACCAACCCATATGCTAGTTATGAATGTTAAAGGAGCCAGCAGCAAGCATGTCAGTGGTAAACAATGTATGAAATGATTAAAAAAAAAAACAAACCAAAATTTTAACAGCTGCAGAAAACGGAAGCACGGTTTGGTAGATATTAGGGATTCATTTCTAAGTAACATAACTACAGCATCCTCCACACCCAGGCTCTTGAACTCCCGGAATAGCTAACGACGCTGGGCCAATGCCGAGTTTCACAGAGCCCTTCTGTGTAGCATGATAACACATATTACAACCACACAACCCGGGCTTGGAAGAGCATGAATTGCATGATTGGTGTCAGGACAGACGTGGTTTGTGCAGCAGAAGCAGAACAACAGGCTCTGATGTGGAAACACGAGCACAGAGAACCGCCCGACCCACAGCTGCTGGAGAAAGTTGATGGGCAATCGGAGGGCGCTGGAACACGGACACGGCGGACTGAGAGTCCAACAAAGGCACCGCAGGCCACTACCCGCTCCTTGAACCCTGGCTCTGGGCAGCATCCCATGATATCGCTGTTACGAAGCGTGAGCTCAGATGCTGTCGAGAGCAAGCAGCGGCTGCTGGATTTTAGCATTTGTTTTACTGTTGAAAGAGATGCTGGCTGTGACACGACTCGGCTTCAAAAGGGCTACAGGACACGGCTACGTTCCTCTCTGTTATTACTGGAGGACGCTGGTTTTCAAAGTTGAAAGTGTTTATGAAAAATAAATGTCCCGCTTTACCCCTGCGGTCATGGATCATAGTGATTGATCTGCACGTGACGCTAAGCCAGGATCCCGGTAATTGAAAATGTCTCTCCCATGATGTAAGAACTGGCAGTCTTTTCACAGACCAGGACAGTCTACCCCCAGGATAGCCGAGGTGTCCTTGGGAAGGCATGAGGATCTACCACTGGAGGCAAATGACCATCGTGAGAGAGGCCAGAAAAAAGGTGGGGTTCAGCAAGGGAGGGCTGGTTGAGACAGATGGTCTGGCCAGCTCTTCAGTGGAGCCTCCTGACCCTGGGTTCCAGGTCAGGACACCTGGACCTGCCTGTCAGGCAGACACTTTAATGGTCCACGCCTGACCTCAACATCTGCCCCAACCTCCTCCTGCTTCCTCACCGGTGGCTTCAGTCAGTGTCCTCCACACCAGACTCCCCTGCCCCTTCTCCCCCCGCCCAACCCTGCGGGGACTAGGGGACAACCTGGAGGTCTGGCGCTCCTGCCTCCCAGCCCCACAGCGCTCAGCTCAGGGTTCAGAGCACGTCCCCTGCCTCTGCTCTCCACCCCGCTGCCCCTGTGGAGGGCTCAGCTGACGCTGGGAGCACCCCTCCTGTTGTCCTCGGCTCCGGTACACACTGCGCTCACCCTAGGCATCACCCTGGGCACCAAGTGTATCTGGTGTGTCTTCCTCACAACTCCTTGAAGCTCCATGAGGATGAATTGTACCTGATTCATCCCCAATACCCGGTGATGCCAGGTAGCAGAACTGTCTGTGAGAGAGGCTCCACCCCCACCCCCAGGCACAGCGCCTGCTCCTCTGGGTCCTACTTCCCAAGGGGAAACTAGACTGAGCCAGAGGTATGAATGGGTTCCCTGACAGCAGGTGGAGGGGTGCGTGTGGGCCAGGAGTGCCTCCCATCCTCAGCTAGCCCTCCACTGAAGCCACACGTTACATAACAAGATACGCCTTACTCCGGAGGCCGTGCTCCAGGGAAGCCTGGTTCTGGGTTCTCTTCCCTCTTGCTGCTCTTGTTCCCTAGAAGCGTCATGAAGTAGCACACTCCAGATCTCAACACCTTGCTCTTTAAACTTCCATATGCAGCTGCCATTTGCCTGAGGCCAAATCTCTCTGAAGCTCCCTGTGGTCACCCACAGAAAGCCCAAAACCCTTTGGATTTTAAGAGTTGCAAAATCTGCCCAACCGAGGAGCTCTCCCTCTGCTCCAGAAAAGGTGGGTCTCCTTGTGGTGACATCTCTTGCTTGGGGACCACCGACCCTCCCTATGCTGTCCAGAGCACACCTGTCAGGATGGCCCACCTCTGAGGTCTGCCAGGCCCCCTAGCCCCCAGGGCCCTGTTTGAGTCTAAATGCTCACAGTAAGTAATGCTGCACCACAAAGGACAAGTTCTGTTATGTCCTCTCTCGTAGTGACTGCACAGGTCTCAACTGTGTCTGTCCTAAGAGTCAGCAAAGGACAGCCAGAAGGTCAGTGGCTTGATTCTGGCAACTCGACCTCCAGTCTCATTCCTGGTTCCTCTCAGTTACACAGTTGAGCACCCCCAATCAGAAAATCCAAACTCCAAATCCCAACTGCCACAATGCCACAAGTGGAAGATTCCATACCACCAACTCTGCTTCATGTAGAACATTATTAAAAATATTATATGAAGTTACCTTCAGGCTTTGTGTGCCGGGGGTATGTGAACACACAAATTTCATTTTTGGACATGGGTCCCATCCCCAAGTTATCTCATAGTGCACATGCAAATATTCCAAAATCAGGGGAGCCCCCCCAAATTGGAAACACCTCCATTTCCAAGCATCTTGGGTATGGATATGACATCTGCACAACTCGGGACACAGGGTGAAAAACTTGATTCCTAAGGTCTCTCCCTGGCACTGCCATTCTCTGATGTCAGCTTCCAAGGTCCAGTACTCTCTCTCTTGACCTGGCAGGGTGATGATCCCCAGGCAAATGGAACAGGCCCTGGTTGATAAGCCACACATCATTCCTACCCAAGGTCGGCTTTGTGCCCTCTGTTCTTTCATATGTAACCTCTCAGGCATAATTTTTAAAATTACCATTATTAATCTTCATTTTCTTTTGGCTCAGGGGAAGGTGATGAAGGCTTTAAGGGTGACCATGAGGAGCCCACATTTTCCTAAAGGAGAAACTCAGCAGCCTCAGACTTGCTTTGGAGGAATTCTCGCATGTTTTTTTCACAGCCTCATCTCTTCCTGTTTGCTCTCAGGTGCCAGACTGACAGAGGAAGGAGGCAGGAGTCTGTGGTCCACCACCGTGGGTGAGATTAGAAACTCACTCTCCGGAAGCTGCATCTGCTTCTCGGGGGGAAAAAGAACTTTCTCTGCAAGATGTTTGCACATCTCCCATTTTATTCCCATGCAACATAACTTGAGTCACCCTCAAATAGTGACAGCCCCCAACATGGAGGTCTGTAGAGGCAGCGACGCCTTCCTTTGGACCTGGAGCTTGGACAGCTGAGCCACTTCCTTTGTGCACAGTGGAACACCCAGTGATAGAATCTGTGATTGAGAGTCAAGTCCAGATGCCACTTCACTGGTTGTTCTAAGAGTCCTAAGTTGTCCTGGGTAGCCTTGAACTTGAGATCTTCTTGCCTCAGCTTCCTGAGTAGCTGTGATTACAGGTGTGCACCACCACACCTGGCTTTATAGATTTATATTCTAAAAAAATATTCAATTTATCTCCACAATTACCTTCTAAGACACTACTAGGTTCCAGTCACCAGTGATGCAAATGCGAGTGGACAAGGCTGCAGACTAGGAAGCCACTGCCTGGCGTTACTGACATTGACACGTGAGCTGGTGTCTTTAGGTAGGCCTTGCCAGGGTAAGAAGGACAAGGTAAGAAGGATGGTTCAAAGAAAATTTAAGTGAGCATGAGCAGAGCCACAGGGTAAAAGAGCCAGGAGTGTTTGGAAGAACTCACACTGTCCTCTGCACACACCTGTGGCGCCGTGAGGTGGCCTCACAGAAGCTGCACACAGTTGCCCTGGGCTCCACAATTAGTTTGCGCAGCGCTTTGTGCCCTGCCGGGTTTCTGGCCCTTACTCTGAGCCTGATGGAGAATGATATTTAAAGGCCTCATTGTGCTGGGTGCTGGGATTATGCTGTAATCCTAGCGGCTTGGAAAGCTGAGGCAGGAGGATGGCAAGTTCAAAGCTCAGCCTCAGCAACTTAGCACGGCCCTAAGCAATTCAGCAAGACCCTGTCTCAAAAACCAGGAGGTAAAAGGTCTGTAGCTGGAGCTGGAGCTGGAGCTGGAGATTCTGTCTCCTCCTTCAATTCTAACAGAAGCGAGTACCAGGAAGCAGCTCCATTGGCCATGTGATGACTGAGCCCTTGTATTTCCAGCTGTCCTTGCTCTTGTTCTTCCTAGTAACAATTCCCCCCCCGAGGACCAGCTTTGGGTTCTGCTGGAGAAAAATGTCAGCGCTGAGACGTTTTTGACAGCCTCAAATTTCTTAATGGCCAAGAAAAAGGACCAACGATTGCTTATATTATTCTCGGCTGTACGGCATCCTCATCGCCCTCCAGGAGCTTGATCCTTCTTTATGGAATGAGTGAATCAACAATTCATTATTCAAATGGCTCCTATTAAAAACCAGCCAAGACTGAATCATTCACCCTTTCCCCAAATCTCTCCCCTGCAACTCTCCCAGGGTAAGTAGAATCTGCTTATGTGTTTACCTCTCCAAGAAAATTTAAGAGGCATCTCAGATCCCTCAGCTGTTCTACAGACTCACCTTTCAAAGCCCCTTCTACAGCAGCCCTGACAGGTGGTACCTGGAATAGCTCAGGGACATGAAATCTCATTTCCTTAATGAATCAGCCTGTCCTGTTGTTGGAAAGCTCCCAGTGAACCAAAATGTGTTTTTTATTTTTTTGCTAAATGAGACACTGAAACCTGCCTCCCTGTAGCTTCTGCTAGTTGCAGCCGGTTTTGCTTTGTGGAGAGGCCTGGAACAAGCTGCGCTGTCAGTCATCACATGCCAGCCCATGCAACCGGGAGTGACCCCCTCCCCCACCCCCGCCCTGTCCCCTGCTGGCACTCGTCTCCAACACTCAGGAGCATCTTTTATGCAATTCATAGCTGCTCGGGTCAAATACACATTTTGATGTAGGGAATCTGTGAAATCTGGCACATGGCAGGCACTGGCTACATGGTGGGGACTACCAGAAAAAAAGGGGGAAAGAAGTCAAAGAAAAAAATCCCACTTTGAAATATTGTCTCCTTATCCAGAAAGGATGTTTTAATAAATGTCCGCAATCATCTGAATTATGCTGACTTCCTAAGATGTATCCAGTGACTCCTTCCTCCTGTCTTCTCTTTGTTAAGCTATAAGCCACCAAAGTTCTTACCAGGGCAGACACAAGGTCTCTCCTACAAGTAAGGACAAAATGGCAGCAAAGGGTCTTAATTCAAACACTGTCCCAGATGTGGAACGCCTATATCAAACTTAGAGCATATAATATAGGGCAGATCATTATATAATGGTAATTCTAATAATATACATTTACTCTAGATGGTGATTTCCAGCCTATTTCAGTGTTCCTCTGTCAATTCTGTTCAAATATCTGCAGGACTGAAAACTTGGGACTTGCTGGGCTAAATTTTGAGCCTTTTTAGATGAAGGGCTCTCTGACTTTTTTGCTTTACCTGCACAGGGCCCAAGAAATTTAAAAGGTGGGCTCCCTTGAGAAAACAGCGTAATTACAGGGCTCCTGGGCTGTCCCTACATGTGGTTACTAAGAAATACAAGGCCTGGGGAAAAGCAAATCCTCTCTCCAAGACTGCGTACATTTAATCTCTGATTATATTTTGAAAATTTTGTTTTGGGGGTGGGAAGAACAGGGAAGAAGAAAGTGTCTGAGAAATTTCATCTTAGGGCTGGGGATGTGGCTCAAGCGGTAGCGCGCTCGCCTGGCATGCGTGCGGCCCGGGTTCGATCCTCAGCACCACATACAAACAAAGATGTTGTGTCCGCCGAGAACTAAAAAAAATAAATATTAAAAAAATTCTCTCTCTCTCTCTCTCTTTTTAAAAAAAAAATTTTCATCTTAGATGGCCAGCCCAGAATGTCTGTCTTTGGGGTCATTTTTCTTTGATATTTTACCCAACACCACAAGCACCACACACGGGTATCACCGATCACAAAGCTCAGGCTCCAGTGTGGTAAGGCTCAGCCTCCTTTCTCTTTCTTTGCAAGTTTTAGAAGATGCTAAGCTCTGACAATCTGCCAGAGGCCCCCAGCCATTCCTCTCCAGGCGCTTCCACAAAGCACACAGATGGCATGAACAGCAGATGAGAAATTCTACCACCTGCAACATCAAGGTGGGCTGGGCGAGCGAACGTGCGGCCCTCTCTTGTACAGAGTCTTGCTGTTACTGTTCTGAGTATGGATTCCCTGGGAGGCGGCTGAATCAACAGTGAGTGAAGGAATCAGCAAACATATGAGAATAGCCTTTCCACTCACTGGGGTGGGTCTTGCCATTACTTCAGGTGAGGAGCACACAGCCATCCTCCCAGGCCAGGGCCCCCCCACAAAGTGGCAAATTCTCCTACCCACACCCTTGGAAGGTCTGACCCTGGAAGTGTGACCCATTCATGCTCCCTCCCTACCTCTGAGCAATGGAAGCAGCTCACGGCCCGGCCCGGGAAAGGAATGGCCACCAGTGGGGCAGTAGCACCACCATCAGATACAGGCCGCTGGACCCAGAGGACTTGTCTTCATCTGCCGGCTCCCAACCAGCCAGGGAGCTTCCCTGAGACTGACTCCAATGTAAAGAGGAAACCACCCAGGCTCCTTCAAGATAGAAATTCTCCAACATCTTTCTTCCAGCAAAAATGGAGGTTTTCTTGAAGTGACCGAGCTTCTGAAGGTGGAGCCGAAGACTTCCAAACACTCCTTCTATTTTGGCTAATAATCGATACTAAAATTAGAGCCACACCTTACCAACGAAACTCTGGAGAATGTGTAATGTGAGTTCTAAGAGCAATTCTTCAAGAAGCATGAAAGTCCTCCTTACATAGCACGGTACACCACCAGGACACTGAGTCCTGAGCCAGCTGATGAGGGCTGTCAGATGTTAGTGGGAGGGACCAGGTTGCTGCTGCATCATTGGCCCATCACCTTCCCCAAACAGGGTTACACATAGCAGCGGATTAGGGACCCAGCCGACCCCCCGCTCTGTTTTAAATGATGGTGATCAAAGGTTAAACAAAACAGAACAAGGCTCTGCCTATCCAAGGCAGGGCCTGAGGGTGGCGATGTGCATGGAGACAAGCCAGTGAGCTTTGCCAGACAGAGACACCATGAAGGGAGAAGGGGAATGGCGTTACCTCTCTCTGAGTCCAGGCAGGCATGAGGGAAGAGAGAGAAACAACACGTTAGCATTCACCCCGCGGCCGGGAAGTCACAGCAGCTCTGTGCACCCACCTCCCATCTTATTTCCCAACTTTGCAGCAATTAATAGCCTTTCGGTGCTTATTTTAGCTCAACTCTTTCACCCACAAGAGTGTATTTTGAGCCACGTTACGAGGAAGCCAAGAGATGCCAGCTGAATTTACAGAGGCAACATATCAAGTGGGGGAGGTAATCAAGCTTAAAATATCACGGCAAACACAGGAAACCGAGCGCAGTCAACACTGGCACAGGACTCGTCTTCGTTTTCCAGCTCCACCTGCTCCCCCCAAAAAACACACAGACACAGAGCCGCGGACAGAGCCTTACCTGTTTCACCACGCTCTGGACATTCTATTAGCACAGCCACAACCCTGCAACCCAGGTACTTTTCTTAGAGGCAACAGGGAGGGAGACAGAGCAGAAGGTCGAGGGCAGAGGTGGGAAGTGGGAGAGCCAGTAGATGAAGGCTCCGGGGGTGAGGGCAGGAGAAGTGGCAGGGAGAGAGAAGTGGAAAGCAGAGCAGTCCTAGGTGGGGGGCAGCCGGCTTTGAGTCCTGCCCTGAGCTGCCCGGGATCCCGAGTGGAGGCCCCGAGCCCAACAGGCTCCCTTCTAGTCTCTACACAGCCAATTTGGGAGGCCCCAGGGCACGGAGGCATTATGCATGGGCAACTGGCTAGAGAGGCGGGACACCAGAGGGACCAGGGGGAGGAAAGGAGACCTACTCTCTTCTGTGCCCGGTGGCCAGGGTCAGGGAGCGGTCAGTGGGACCTTTGCAGGGCTGAGAGCTGAAATCGTGGTGTGAAACCCTCCAAGCACACCAGTGAGCCAGAGCTGCACACAGGGACACAGAGCAATGACCTTGACGTACTGTTAGATGGGGTGGGGGAGGGGGGCGGGGCAGGCTAACAAACCAAAGCTGCAGTTACATGGTCTCCAATGAAAAACCTCAAAAAAGGTCGGAGCCTGTATTTTCATCTACACACAGTTTAAAAAATCTAAAACAACATAACATCCAAATTGTCACTGGAGTGGGAATTATGAGGATTTAATATATTTGTTTAAATATTATATAAGCACATATGAATTTTTTAAATAAAATATGCAAGAATCCTTCTCAGTATTAAAGGGAAATCACTGTGGTACTCGTACTCTCCGGCACAGGTAACAACACTAAAACTTATGGTAACAATAAGACGTCTAGCAACTACCCTTTATTGAGCTCCGACTCTGGGTGGCTCCTAATAGCGACCTGACAAAGCCAATGTACTGTTCTCACTGATGTCTAAGGAAACAAGGTAAGAGAGTTTGAGCAACTTGGCCAAAGTCATACAGCCTATATGTGGCAAAGACAGGGTTTGATCTTCCTAGATGGGTCACCCACTCTCCACAGTCCTACAGTTCCCTCTAATGGTTTGTCTTCCAAACGGAAGCCCCAGAAGGTCCATAAGCAGTTCAAGGCAGGGCCTGTGGGTTTGGAAAGAACCTGGGATTTTAGAGCAATTTTAAAGAACCCTCCTGCCATTTGGTGAACTTCTGTTGGGGAGAGGTAGCTAGGAATTCCCAGGAGGAGAGGTAGCTAGGAATTCCCAGGAGGAGTTCTTTAGGCTGAGGCAGTAGACAAGCCATGTTCCTCTGGGTACAGAACTTACCTTTTCTCTATTCACTCAGTGTGGATTTTCTGGGTTCCCTCTGTATGCTATGTGAGAAATGACACCCAGTGGGCCCAGGTTCTTCATGAAGAAAAAGGGGACACAGACACGTGGCTCTAAGCCACAGTGAGCCGTGGAGTTAGATGATGTGCCAGGTCTGCATCGTGAGCTATGACCACAAGACCATCTGAAGGGTCCATGTCTCAGCTGGGCTACAGGCATCTGAGATGGACTGTCTCCAACCATGAAGGGACAGTCACCCTGAGAAGGAGTTGTGGCCCTCTCTCCCACTTCCTGGATACCATCTCCCATAGGATGACAGAGTCCCCTCCAGCTCACGTCCCTTCAAACCACCTTGGTCCCACCTGTCAAAGCCAATCTCTGGAGCCAACTTAGCTTAGCAGCAAAGGACCCAAAGGCCTTGATTCTGTTTCCAGTTTGAACAAATGGCTGTGCAACCTTGTTCAAGGAGTTGACCCCTTCTGAGCCTTGGGTTTTCCGCCTCAGATGAGAGCGTTCTGGCTGCTTCATAGTGCTCAGATTTTTATCAGAAAAGGATGTAAGTGCTTTGACTCTCACAGCAGAGAACAACAGGCAATGTTCTTTGAATACCTTTTGACTTATGCCAAAGCCAAAAGCTTTTAATTTCTTACTCAACAAAATGCCTAAGTCAAGTATAGGATAACCCCTGCCCAGGAGTCAGTGCTCTGCCTCAAAGACCCGAGGACACAGCCTCTTTCCTGTGTGTCTTATTATTGCCGCCTTGGATATCTCAAGTCCGACTCAACTGCTAGTGAGTTGCTTAAGGAACTCAGAGCCATCGTGTTCCCCCTGAAGGCAGAACTTGGAAAAATGATACTACAAACTTTGATCAGTTACTTCTTTGGGGGGTTAACAGACACTGCTTGATTTTAGGGTGAACTGAAAACCAGCCACAAATAGAGACTTGAAAGGATCTTTGAAATGTCATTCAAAAATCCAGAAGAGTCACAGACAGTGGCAGCTGCTCCACCAATTCAGCACCTTATAAATTTGCTGGGGGGTGGGGCGGGGGGGAGACCCATCAGCTCAAAGTTGGGCTTCTGCACAAGACCAGCCATTCTGAGAGCACAGAGGCTAAATTTAGAGTCAGGCACAAGTGTCCTCCCTCCTCCCTGTACAAGATGCCAGGGAAAAGAATTAAACCCCGAGAGGAATTCCACAGGAGCCGCACACCCCGAGGCTGCTGGGCCAGCTTGCTCTTGGTGGCTGCTCCTTAGGTAAAGGAAGACGGCAGTAACTGGCAGGTCTTGGAGTGTGTCACTGGGTGACCAAAAGAATAGCAAATACCTAAAAAATCCCTACCATGATGACACACCAGGATGGCACTACTGTAGCTTTCGGGAAGTACATGCCATCCTCTCCTGTTCCCGGGCACGGTCACCCCGTCTTAGGCCAGGCACTATGGTCCACTTTCCACAACTGAGCAGGCGAGGGCAGGGCTCACCAGTGCCCCAGCCCGCTCCACTCCCTCCACTCCTGCAGGAGTGCTTTTGGATGCTGTTGCTTGCTACCAGGGGGCCTTCTGAGCCACGATCACCGTTATTCATTTATATAACAATGAAGGGCAAACTGTAAAACTTGAGGCCCTGACTCAAGTCTGTTTTCCTCCCCCAGTTTCACTTCCCACCCCCCACTTTGTGATTGACATTTATTAGCTGTCTGTCCCTGGCCGACCCTTGGCCTCTTTTTTTCTTCAGTTTCTTCATCTGTAAAATGGACACACTAGTGGTCTTCCCATCCTCAGTGAGTGTGAGGAGTAAGTGTGAGTTAACCTACAGGGAACGCGAATGTTCCTAACTTCCTAATGTTTTTTTGAATCACGGAACCTTTTGGTGATCCACTCCAGATAAAAATGTGCGAGAACTGACAATTTTATGTATCATCTTGAAGCAGGTAGAGGTAGAAAGGTTTGTTAATTCCTGGCGCTCATTCTGAGACCCCTGTAGACTCTGTACCCTGCAGGTGAAGGACCTCAGCATTGAAATGAATACCAAATTTATGCAAATTTCCCATCTGGTTCCTGGTGAGATTCAGAGGATTCAGCTTGGATAAAGGGTCTATCCTTCCAAGGACCAACGGGTGACAGAACACCTGCCCCAGACCAAGGGGCCTCCCTTCCCAAGCAGGCCTCCTCCCACCTGCTCCTGCCCACCAGCACCGTGCCGCTACTTATTAACGCAGGAGCAGGGAGCTGGAAGGGAGCTGGGGAGTTCCAGCGAGCTAAGTGTGATGCTGAGGTTTCAAATGGTGCAGGGTTATTGAAATTCAAGGCACATTCTTCTAAACAAAGGACCTTCTCAAGCCACTGGAGAGAAGACAATCGTTACCTGTCAGCTTACTGATGAGGGGGAAAAAGAATATTTAAAGCAACCAGGAAATGAATCTTTTTTTTTTTTTTTTAAAAAAAGCCCATCTTTGAAGAGAGCAAGAATGAGCAAGCCTCAGCTTTCATCTGTGCTGTTACAGTTTAAAACAAAACAGAAAAAACCTTGCTCCACTGACTGAGAGAAAGGATGTGCACAACTTAAGCTGAGTGAGTGTCACTGTTGCAAGGCAGGAGCTTAGGGTACTGACAAATCATAAAGTTCCATAGGTGACACCTGGATCGGGAAGCCACAGGCTGGCTGCCTGCCTGAGGGCAGAGACCAACACAAAAGCCCTCCCACCAGAAGGCCCATCTGACACACAGACCTCGGGTAGGGAGCAGGGAGGACTACAGCTTTCCCAAGAGGAACAAGAAGTAGGGCAGGAGCCACTCGCAGGTCACGGAGAGGACGCCTAGGCAATCCCAGCACCGGCCCAAGGTGCGTCTCTGCCTCCCCCTCTCCTGATCAGCTGGCTCGGCTCAGGATCCTGCAGAGGTGGTCCCAGATCTCCCCTGCTCTCTCTGTCCCTTCGGACTTCGGTTCCACTACTGCTGTCACTTTTGACAATAATGACATGCTGTGCTTGGTCTAAATTCCCTTCCCTATATCCTGTTACTCTCAGGCCTACAGTTGCCCTCAAACTTCCTGCCTCCCCCCACGCCATCCACACAGGACCCTTGAACACACAAGCCTCTTCCTACCCTGGGGCCTCTTTGCTTGCTGTTGCCACTGCCTGGGCTGCTTGTCACCCCAAGTCCCTGTGAGGCAGATTCCTCCTGATCATCACCGTCTCCAAAAGACCCCTCGGGGACCCTGACTTGGCCAACTCTCACGACCACCTCCAACGGCCCTGCTTATTCGCTCATTCTCTCGCCTCACAATAAA